TAGATAATAATTTATTTCTATAATATTCTTTATTAGGAATTTAGCTTTTGAAAATTATTTCACTTTAGATTTTGGTTTTTAAATATAGATATAGCGAGATAAAAATATAATAAAAAAATTCCAGTAGAAAGACATTTCTTAGGAATGCTAATAAATATTTGCAAATGTTAATAAAATTTTTACATCAATTAAATTCAATAAATTTGATACAATCATCTGAAAAATCTCATAAAATATAAGAAAGAGTTACTGGTTTCATTTTTAAAAAGATGAAACCAGTAACTCTTTCTATTATAAAATATGTTATGCTCACGTGTTACAAAATAATTTTAGAAAATTTACAAATTACAAAATAAATTTTAGATTAGCTTTGACACAATAGTCATCACTTAAGAATTCATATTTCATAAAAGAACAATAAAATATTTGAAAAATTTATAACATGGCATAATTTTAAAGAATTTTTTTTTAATTTTATTTTAAATTTCAAAATATAAGATGAATAAAATGTATTCTTCTCACATTATAACTGGTTAATAAAAAGAATGTAGCAAAAAAAAATTGCATGAATTGTTAAATTAGAACAAAAGCAAATTATTAAAATGACCGCACAAAGTGAACTACTAAAAAAAAACTTAAACCCTGCATTGTTAGTACAACTATTTCAATTTTGCGAATCTTATTGGAAGACAAGAAAAAACGATGTTGTAAACATCACAAGAAATTTCTTTTTTTTTTTAAGTACGATGAAAAAGAATTGTTTTAACTTAAGAAAATTATGAAAAATTTATATGTATGTTTTGTAAGTAACAGGAATTTTTTCATAATATTTAGTACAATATCTTAAAAATAGAATAATTTCGTTATTATTAAATTTAGCTTACTTGGAATTCTATAAAAACTGGAATTTTTGTATGGAAAATAGTTAAAACTTTATTAAACAAATAAAAATGTCTGCAATTGTGACAATTTTAGCAGAATGAAATCAATTACATATTAAGCACTTATTATGTACATGAACTCATTTTCAGCATTCTCTACTATGGTAGGGGATTGCTTCAAGAAACTTAACGAATTACTTTTGTACAACCGTGTAACATAACATTTTGTTGGACAAAATGAAATCGGATCATATATTAGTTTATGATTCGATCTGTTTATGATGAATAAATTTGGTTAAACTCATATGATGCTAATGCATTCATATAGGTATAACCAGTATTATTTCGAAAATTTTGAATTTTAAATTTCAAACTTTTTAAAAGGATAAAATAGCTGCTTTGTTCTTGTACATACTTTCATCTCTACATTCTTTTTATTGTTATTATAAGTTGCCCGAACATTATCACATGTAAAGTATACGCATAATAATAATTTTTATTTCAAAAATTCTCATATAAATCTCTAGGTTTTTATACACTTTTCTCTTTCTTTTTCCTCAATGTAGGTATTATGCTATTAATCTTAAATTACAAAATAACAAACACACAAAAATCTTAATAAAAAACAAAACAAAAAATTATAGCAATTCCATTATTTATATGTGATACTATTCGTTCATTCATTCATTTATTCAAAGTGAAGCCCTCAATGAAAGATCTTAAATACCCGTAAAAATACCGGAAATTATACTTGAGTATAAAGGCACACGTTTTTATTATTACATATAGCATCATCATTAAATCTTTTTTTTATCATTTTCATCTTATGAATATCATATGAAGCAAGTATGAATTAAAATACCTGTATAGTATAAAATAATTATAATTTTCACATTGATGATAAATGAATGATGAAGAAACAACTAAAAAATGGTATAAAAGTCGAAAATTCTATAACTTATTGTTGTAATTCAGCAAATTTTCATTAAAATGTAAACAAGTCAACGCATATTAAACATAGAGTTGAATTTTTAATTAAAATATTAAATAACAAGAAGTGCTTGCCATAATTCTATTATAATTAATGTTTTTTATGTGCACTGAATAATAACCAAAATATGAAAATAAGTAAGTATAATATGCAACTAAATACTTGAATATTCTCTTAATCATATTGATTTTGCGCTTTTTATTTTTTAGGAAATTTTAACTTTCTATGTTTAAATCTGAAATATGTTTTCTTGTCTTAAAATAGTCAAAATTTACTCTGAAATTTTAAAATTGGATTGTAACTTAAGTTACAAAAATACAAAATTTAGTTTACTTACAACTTGCTGAAATTACAATATATTTTAATTTATGTCAGAGAACAACTCAATACTTATGTTTACACGACGCATACTCTTGCATCAATGGTTGGCATACATACGTTTCATTCATCTTGATTAAAAACTTTACTGGCAAGTGAAATGTATGTTATCTCATTCATGCAAAAGTCACCGTGAGTTTTTATTTACCCATCAATAGTGTTATTATGCATATTTCACTAATCTGACTGCATAATCTGACTATTATCGTTAAATCTAAATTATCTTTTGGAGCTCATCCAATATATTTAGTTGTAACAAAATATTTTTTCTCAACACTTTAACAAAAATCAATCATAACATCAAATTAGGTAATATTGGAAAAAAATTTTTTGAACTTGACCTATACACTTTATTTTATTTAACGTTTAACCACAATTTTTACCTATTAATGGCATAGTAAAGTACAATTTTACCTCAAATTTTTACAAGAATAATTTACATACTTTCACTTTTAACTTACAAAACTGGATCACGAATTTCAACGAAGTTTTAATATACAGTCTGCATTTACAACTACATTTTAATATAAACATAACTTTACTTTGGCGCATCTTCAATACTATTTTAACCACATAATGATAATGTACAATTTAAAATATATTTTTATTCACAGCATTCATTCAAATACTGGAAGCCTCGTACAAGATTCAGAGAAAAATTTAAAATTGCAATTGCAACAAAATTACTGTATGAACTTCCCATGATTTCCTTTTAAACTTTAAAGTAATTTTCCTATTTTGTACCGTTCTTGTTGTTTTTTTTTTTAGCTACTAAAAACTTGAATACTTCTTTATTTTGTATTATCATGAAATTTAAATTTCACATAATATAAAAAAAAACAAATTGCATTCAAAAGCGACCCAGTCGCCTACATTTTAAGCGAAAAGGTAAAAGGAATAAAAACAAAATTCGATAAATAAAACGGAAAAACAAAATTTCAATAACGTGTTTTGAGAAGATGAAGATGTAGTTGTTGTTTTTTCATTAAATTATATTACTATACTCAAATTAATAACAAATAAGTAGGTAGGTAGGTACCTAACTGCATTCAACATGAATTATCAGAAACTACTCTATAATATTCGGAATAAACAGGAAGAACGCAAAAAATGAAAGACAAAATGGAAGTATAATAAAATTTGTAGTTTTCATAGTATTGTTTTTACAATAATATATAAGTATACATACTTATATACTAGAGAACTCCAAGCCAATATATAACTAGAGATCAATTAAGATCAAAATGTGCTTTTTTTAACTTTCTGTGTATATTTTTACCTTCGTTATTTCCTTAAGAATATGGGCTTTCACATTGCCCCTTCATCGAACTCAATCTTGTGGAGTTCTTTCGATTTCGGTATATTTTGCTCCGATTTACTTTAATTTTTTTAGCAATTGTTTTCTTCCAACTTTACAGTCGAATCTTCCAGTCTGCGTTTTAAAATAACTGCTCTAATTTTATCTTTAAATAGGTGTTCCTCATTTGAATGTTTGAAACTTCAGCATGTGTGTATACATAACCTAATACTAGAGTGAACTTCTAATATCCAATAGATATTTAATTTGTAGCGGTTTTTTTTTTAAATGCGTGCTTCGGTTTCCAGTATTCTCTTTTTTTTTATATAATTTGATTACGTCTCAACTCTTAAATAAATTTTCTCAAACGATTGCTTTCTTTAAATTCATTTCAGGGCCACAATATAATTATAACGATTTTTTTTTTCTTTGCGCAATAAATTACACTAAACTTGAAAAAATTAAATTTTCCTTTCGTTTATGAAAGTAGAGAACAAACGTCATTTGATGAAATTTTGATTGCAAGACCAGTGTTGGGATATTTTGCATTTTTTGTGCCAAATTTGACTTAGTGGATCTTAGTTTTGCATTGAGTTTTTTAAATATTATGCCAAGAGCTTTTTTGGCATAGTGGCATTTTTAAAGAACATTGCAAAATCTTTGAAAAAAGTGTTCTAAATTTTCCTTCAAGTTGGGAAACAAAATAATTTTGTTGTTTTTAACAACAAGGTTTTTATTGTGCGGTTTTGATTGCTACATACGTTTAATTCAACAATTGACACTGATTTGAACTTTGTCAGCTTATTATTTCTTAATTTAAATATTGAAACTCAAATAGTTTTGAGAATTGCTTTAATTTTTTCAAGATGGTTTATTTTTGCACAACTATATTTTATACATTAAATTAAATAAAAATTAGTCTTTTTATTTCAACTAGCGTTGATACGAGACCGACTAGCAAGGTATTAAAATTTGACATAAAATGGCATTGCATTTTATCTAATCTAGCACAGTTTACTCGACCAAATATCTGATAATAGCATAAAAAATCTAGTACAAAAATGAAAAGCAGTTAACAAGCTCTGTCTGTATTATTATTGAAAGAGTTGCTAGAGAGAATAAAATTAAGAAAAAAACTGATTTATTCCGTTCGTAAAATCACAAATCATAATATTGCGATTTACACATTTGACAATCGATATGTAATATCTCTTCCCCATATTCGATATAATATGTATGTATGCATAGGTATCAAAATTAATAAGTAAATTTATTTTATGTTTTAGTTCATTTTAAAAATTAAATATAATTTTTGCTATTAAAATTTATATTATGTACATATGTATGTGCGTATGTATGTATATAAAAAAAACTAATATTTATCTTTTTTACAGATGTTTAACAAATTTTTAATTCTTTCATTGGTTCTATTGCCATCTTCAACAAATTCATGTTTGGGAGATCATGAGCCAGTTGATTTTTTAGTACCTCCGCCAGCTCCACCTGGTCAACAAAACAAAAAAATTCACAGATCTGTAACACCATATCAATTTCCGCCTCCTCCAACAATTACTCCCGAAATTTATAATAGTCAAACGGACCCTCCAGGTTTAATGCAAAGGGTAGCCAGATGGTTTGGTTTTGGGGGTGGTGGCTATGTTAATACGTTAAACAATATTTCACCAGAAAGAGCGAAAGATTCTGTTATTCAACAAACTTCTATTCAGCCGCAAGTTACGCAACAGCAGCAAATACAAAATTTACAAACGGCTGAAATATCTACTATATCTCAACAAGTTCAACAACATCATCAACAACAACAACAAAAGTTGCAACACCAGGTTCAATTAAACCAAAAACAGCAAATAACACAAAACCAAAATGAACAGCAGCAGCAGGTTCCACAAGCAAGTTATTATCAACCTCAGTATAAAGAAAATCCTTTGAATTCAGCATCAGGGCCGTATCATTATAATCGACCTAAAGCAAATTGTAATCCGTGCAACAAAATTCCATGGATTCCAATGTGGCCCGGAAATATTCCTATTTTACCAGGTCATATCCATAACCGGCCTCAACTACCATCAGCTTTTCCCTCTGGAACTGTAAATCAATTTGTCACAACACCAAACCCACATACTCAAAATATACCACATTCCCTCGGCGAACCATCAAGTCCAATACCATCTAATCAAGGTCAATTATATTCACAACACTTCCAAAGAAACCCACAGCATCCATTTTCATCACAATTTGATAATCGACCTGAAAATCAATTAAGAGCTGTTAGATTTAATAATGCAATTTCGAATCTGCAATTAATACCTCCCCCACATTTGTCTATTCCCCCTATACCAGTGCCTAATTTAAGTGCTGTTCCTTTACCACCATTATATAACGCACAAAATTTTAAAGATTCTGGAATCTCTTCTCAAGAATCTAATAACGTTCCATATATTGATCATGTTGAAGAACCTTCAGAATTGCAACCTGTTACGCCAACTCAAGTCTCACCGAATAACTTCAATGGGCAGCGACAACTCAGTTCACAAATATATCAGCAGCAGCCAATAAATTTTAATAATGGTAAGTCAATTACACTTTAATTTGCAAGTCTTTTTATTTCTATTTTTTTTTTGTTTAAACTGTATTGTTAAACATATTTAAGGCCAATTTGAAATTATAAAAAGTGTTCCGGTAGCTGATTTTATTTCATCTATTGAATATCCCGTCAAGCTAACTGAGTCCAAAATTATAGATTTGTCGAAAGATAATAGACACTCACAAAGTTCTGATGGTTTCAATAAGATTAATTACAATAAAGAAAACGAAACTCCAAAATTAATAGAATTAGGAAGTATTGATAACACAAACACATATGCAACTGAAGCTACAACTAACATTCAGCATGTTTCGCAGCCATCAAATAATTTGGTTTCACAGTCACTATTACAGTCAAATAAAATTCAAAACACTGAATTTGAAAAGAACGACTCAACTAAACAATATTTCCACGAACAAAGTTTGAGAAATCAAGAAAGCCATAAAACAGGCAATCGACAGCAAAGCTCGCATCCTGAAATTTTGTCTAATTTTATTCAACCACCGGAACAATTTGATTTTGTCGGTCCAAGTACTTCTTTACTGCCACCAATAAGAACAGATCCACCGGATTTTCTGTCATCGCCGATTATTGTACATAATACACATGAACCAAACGATAATTATCCCGAAGCATCTTCTCATAATTTAACAGTAAAAAATGAGAATTTTTTGGAAAATAATTATATTCAAGGACCAACCCTATTACCGGAACTGGAATCAATATTTACAACCACGTCATCTATTCCAGTTCATTTATTTCAAGATAATCTTAGTGTTAGACCAACGGAACCTGCACCATCATTTGATATTATACCCTCTCTAGAAACAGCTTCTGAATATCCTGACTTATTCAAGGATTACATACAAAAAACTAAACAAACCACAACTCAAGCACCAGTTTTGTATAATCATAATGATGATATTTTCCCAGGAAAACCCTTTACTAAGGATAACGATGATACAAGAAATAATAATAATATAACACCTTGGTTTCTTCAACCAACCCCAACCTCAACTTATAGTTCACTAGATGCTAGTGGAAAATATGCTGGGATGTCACCTCCTTCAGAGTTTCAACCACCCTTAATAAAATTTAATGAATACACAATAGACAAACGACCTAAACAAATTCAACAGTTAATAATACCATATACTACAAAAATTAAACCAAGACCTTTCAAGTTAAGAGAACAACAAATCCAACAACAACGAATTCAACAACAACAACTTCAAGAGCAACAACAAATTCAGCAACAACAAATTCAGCAACAACAAATTCAACAACACCAAATTCACCCATTACAAGGAAATAAAAAACAAGAAGATCAGCAGTTTCCATTACAATATGAAAATTTAGATAATCGTTATTCAAATTGGTCAAGTTCCCATGAACATCAAGAAATTCATGATCAACAGGAATCAAAACTTGTTCCGGCCACTCAAACAACAGAAGAACCAACACGAAAAACTACAAAGTACTTAACTAAAATTTTGGCCTCAAATATCCGAGAGTTATTACGCAGAGAACAAGCAAAACGAAATAAAACTACTATTGATAACAACATATCGGATTCAAGCGAGGCAAACAACTTAAAACATCTTCAAAAGAATATTGATGATTGGACTGAACAAGAATACACATCTTTAAAACATAAAGCTAGTACCGTATCTATACAGAAACCTTCTAAAAATATTCCAAATGAATATCTTACAACAACTCAGTCATACAATGATATCGAAAACAAAGAAAAAATTGGTGCTACAATTCAAACACCATCAACATCCACCATGTCAATTATGAAGCCAATGAGGACATCATTGATGATGAATCCGAAAGATGATTTTATGGCACACCTAGAAGATAATAGTGTTTTTAATGTTGTTACAAATAATAAAAATCGATTAGAAGTTTATACCAAAAGTTATATGAAAAATAGAATTTCAACATCAACTATACCACCAATATCGGATAATCGCACACCATTTATATCTTCATCAACAATATCACCAACTTCAACATCAACTATGTCACCAGTAGTTACCACCAGTACAACAACATTTAGAACATCAACATCAGCAACACCATTTTATTATAGAAATGCCATGCATCCGACAAAACCTTCAAGTGAAAAGGAGCCTTGGCAAAAACTAAAAGTTTCTATATCACCACTAACAAATGAAAAAGTATATGTTGTGACACCAGTTCCAAAATTTCAAACAAAATCAACAACCCCAATTGATGGTATTGGCACATTTAAATCACCAAGATTTATTGTAAGGCCAGCACCAGTTTCAAATAATAACAGTAATAATACTAACAGCAGTATTGCCAATAATTTAGAAAGTGGTAAGAGATTACGTTTATGTAAAGACAAATGTATAATTGTACAAAGTCAAAGTGCTGGTGGTGATGGTAATAATATTTTACAAAAGAATTCTGGAGGCATAGCAAGAAGAGTCATTGATATGCTTTAAAAAATTTTATTAAACTTTTTTTTTCTGTATTGCCATATAGTGTAATGTAATACTATATTTTAATTTTAAATTCATCAAAATCATTTGTAAATTGATGCATTTTTTCATTTAAGTTAAGTCTTTAATCGATAAGTGCGTTTTTATCAGTAAATACATAGTTTTTGTAAATAATATGCTATTTTTCTTCAGCTATTTTGTAACAGGGAATCACGAAAATAAATGTTGGCATTATATAAATTGGAATGATATATTAACATAAATATCATTACACATTTATTTGCACAATAATGGAATAAAATTTTAGATTAAATAAATGGGGCACATATGTAGTTCATTTCGACCCTTTATATTCATACTAATAATAATTGAATCAAAGCATTTCACAAATTATCCTAATTTAACCTAGTCAAAAATTGTATGCTTCACAAAAGGTCATCTAGGAAATGGAAAAAATTCAGGTTGGAAAGTTGCTTTGGTTTTTTATAGCTCTAAAATTAACATATTAATAAAAATTATTCACATACACATGCTTGAAATTAATTCAAATTTTGCGAAATATTACAGAAAATTACATATTTTCGAAATAATCAAAATACATTAACATATTTAACCAAAAACAAAAAAATTATGAATTGCAATTAAGAGGAGATTGAAAATTTTATTAATTTTAAAGGCTAAAAGTAATGCAATGGGAAAATCGCTTTTCTTTTCATTTTTATTTATTTTTTCTTTTATATTTTCATTTTTTTTTTTTCCCATAAATTTAAAAATTTTTATACAAAAGCCACAGAAACCAGCAATAGCATAGATCAAATTGAACATATGAATACAGAAAAAACATTTCATAAGCCATACACACCGGAACTATTTGGTTTGATGGGAATTTCAGCATTTGTTCCCGATGAGCCAGCTGATATTCTGGATGGACATTCTAGAGTAAGCTAGAATTAAGTTATTAAAAATTTTCTCAATTTTTGGTATTTTGTTATTAACATTTTAATCTCAATATTTTTTTTTATTTGGAATGATTTAAGGTAATAACAGTAGTAACGCCAACACCTCACAATAAAAAAAGGTCAATTAAATATTTGGAATTGAAAAGAACAACAGCGGCAAGAGTTTTACCATTGTTAACAGGAAATAGTTAGGATTTTTAAAATATAGTTAATTAAATTTTTTTTTATTTTAAATATTAATTTAAATTATAAAAAGAAAAAAAAGAAGCATTTATGATTATTATTTAAAATTGTAAAAAAGGTTAACAGAAAAATATTTTTATATAATTTTGTATATAAAAGAATGAATGGGTCTTATATGATTTTTTTAATTTAAAAATTTCACATAAATTTAGGAGAATCGTAAATTTATTACTTTGGAAACTTTAGAAATTATTCTGATTTTTTTTCATGTTAAATTTTATAAGAATATATAACGCCGAAACATATGCAATTTAATTCAGAGTAAAGGTACATAATTATGTTGTATCTCACTATTGCTCTTAAGCAAAGACTTTAAAAATACAATTAATTAAATACAATTGGTAACTACAATGTCCTTGGCTTAAATTATTCAAGACGTTCAATTGTTTTAATTTAATCAAACTTTATACATAAATTGTTTTATATTTAAGCCTTTCATATACAAGACACCTAAACGAACGGACAATAAAATCATTTAAAGTGCAATTTTAGAATAACTTATATATTAAATTGTGAAAAAAAATTATAAAAGTTAACCTTATAGTAAAAAAATATATAATTATGTTATTTATACTATATTATTTAGTTAGTAAAATAAATTATATTAAATGTAAATTATTATATTTACACTTATAATTTTTTTCACCTGAATGTTGTATTCTAAAAGATATTATCAATTAACATAGATAGAAATTAACATAGAAAACTCATTCATATAAGAATTTTTCAAGTTTAATATGATTTTGGCCCTATTAAACTGGCCACTTTTACTATTTCCTTTGATTTTATTTTTTAACTTTTTTGTTACTATAACTTATTAATGTTCTTGATTCTTGGTGCAACAGGAAATTTACAAATTTTTTGATTTCAAAACAATTGATTAATGAAAATGGCAAAAAATTGTTGGTGCAATAGGGTTTTGTTCATGAATTTTATTCTTATATATGTACAACTTTATTGTCATTAAATTTTAAATTCAAATGAAAACTTAAATACATACTTTTTTATACACTTTCTAAAAATTTGTAATTGATATAACCTATATACATAAATTCAGAAAATTCCAACATTTCCCAGTATTTTTCTCTTATGTAAAAGTCAGAAGGAAATTATTATTTTAAAATCAATATTCAGGTTGGAAAAATTGTTTATTAAAAAATTTTATATGCTTAAGAAATTAGAAATTTAAGCAATGTAAATGAATGAGAGAATATTTTATATATAGTTTGTGTGTCTGTGTATAATATACAATTATAAAATTTTATTTTGATTTAAAATGCTCTAGTTATTTGTGATTTGCTATTCAAATACATAAAATCAAATTTTTTAGCTATTATTTATAATTATATTTTATATTTAAATTTGGATTTCCTTTTCTTAGACAAGTTAGAGCAAAATAATATTGCATTTTAAAAATACATTCGTATATAATATTATATTTTTAGTTTAAAATATGTTTACATAATTTAAAATTATAAAAAAAAATTTTATTGTAAATTATCAATTAAAAAGAAATAATGTAAAAAATTTTAAATAAATTAAAACTTTTGTAAATATTAAAAATTTAAATTAAATTGAATATCGTTCGTCTTTTTCTTTATTATAACAATATTAATTTAAATGACAACGGCAACACTTTTAAAAATTTTGAAATTTTTAAAACTTTAATATAGGTTAACATAGAGTAATCGTTTCTACTCATTATATTGAAGAGTAATTAACGTAAATTATAATAAACGCTACTTAAAAATTTAACTAATTTAGAAACATCGTTTTGAAAACTACATATGTATATAATTAGAAATGAATATCGTTAAATGTAAATTTGCATGTAATTAAACTATAAAATCTTAGTAGGCAATAATTATAAAAGTGCATGGCGTAATAGTATACAAGCATGCAAGCCCAATAAATATACAAGTGATAGCACTGCCTTTATTTTACATTTATTATGTATAAGCATTATAACAATAAATTTTTGGGATAATCAATAAAACTAAATCTCATATTTTTGGTAACCTATTATGTATTGTTAATTTTATTAATTAAATTCTATTTATCATAAATTTATTTTCATCTACACAATTGGAATATTATTTATAAATTTTCTAATTAAATTTATATCTAACAAAATACTATTTGTAATTTTTCTAAAATGCAATATAAAATTTCTAAACCTTATTCTCTATTGATGAATGTGCTTTGGTTCGATATTTTCTGTATAACATTTCTAAAATCCATGACATCATTGGTACTATTGAAATTATATTCAAAATATATATTGTTACTGTATAGTTAGTTGCATCTCTTACTAAACCTAAAATTAAAAAAAAAAATTTGTACCAAAAATTCATACATAACATAATAAAAATTCATTTACATATTAAAATATTATAAAAAAATTAATATTATTTTACACATACCTACAATTGGACCGCATGCAAGTGCAAAAATACCTTGTGTCATTAATTGTAAACCTTGTGCAGCTGGTAATCTATTCAATTCAATATGGCTTGCAATTACTAAATTTAAAAATATTGTTCTCCATGATTTACCAGCTCCCATTATTATAAACATTAATAATACAATATTAAAACTTGGTGCTAAAGCTATTATAGAACGAGCAAATACCATTGTTAAAACACCACATATATAAAACATTGGACCGGACCATGTTAATTTACTTGAAATATATGATGTTGATAAACGTACAATTAAATCAGTTACACCTAAACTTGACATAATTATTGTTATTTCTTTTAATGTAAAACCAAAATCTGATAAAAAGAATGGTGTAAGTAAAGCTATATTAACTTCAGAGAAAGCAGTTAATGTTAAACCAATCATAAAATTAATATATGTGAAATCTTTAAATAAATCTAAATCAAAATATTTAATTAATTTCTTAGTCCATGGAATTTTCGGTGAAAATTTTTTTTCATTGAATTTTTCTACATCTAATACAGGATCCCGTGATTTACGAAAATTTAATTGTACTATATTTTCAGTTGAAACGAAAAAACTTTTAACTGATTGATTATCGTCCTTAATAGTTGATCCATTCGTTATATTTGCCAACTTATTATCCTTATATTGTGTTGTTACAATATCATCATTTAATAAAGGTGTTATATTGTCAGTTTTTTCATTTTCATTATCACTATTATCATCAATATTTTTATTTTCATTTGTATTATCAATATTATTGTTATTATTATTATTATTATTATTATTATCATTGTTACTACTATTATTATTATTATTATTAATATTCTTAATATCACAGTCATTTTTATTATTATTGAGTGGTATTTTTAATTTGATTTCATCTTCTTCCTTATTTAAAATAAATTGTTGTGATGGAATTTTTTTTACATGCCATAATACTGGTTGATATACTAAAGCGCTTGGTAAATTATGTAATGTAAATAATGTAAATAATAACATTGTTCCAGTATAACCATATAATGGTAGTATTACAGCAATAACCATTGGTAAACATACTGGACCTAAACCAGCAATTGCCCATGCTATACTAGAAGCAACAGGTCTTTTTATTTTAAAATATGTATTTAATGCTATTGTTGCAGCTGATATGACAAATCCCATACCAAATCCTACGAAAATTTTAATTAATTAATTTATATTTATAGTATTTATTTTAGTTTTGCATTACGTACCAAATAATATAGAATAAGGAACAAAAAATGAAATGAATGATGATGCAAATGATGTTAAAAAAATTCCAGTTGTTGACAGAACAGATCCCATTATTCCGATTTGTCGATATGTGAATCTTCTAAAAAGCGGTCCATTAAACAATCCTAAAATTAGAATTCAATTTTGAAATTCAATGTATTATATTGGAAATATATTATGAATTTAGTTAAGAAATTCGAAATTCTGCTAAAAATTCATCATTTTTTAAAGAAAATTCATAAATTTTCCCGCAATTCTATAATAAATTCTTAAATTTTCTAAAAATAAATACAAGCAAATAATGTGCATGTGTAAGAAGTGTACAATTTTAAAAAAAAGCAGAATCAAAGAAAAACGTGACTCTTAACGTCATTCTTATTATAATTATGATAAGTATTTAAACAACTATGTAGTTACATATTATAAGTAGCTGCATAATAATTAAAAATTTAATTGTATTACATTATTTTATCAAGGTTTTTAAATTTTCAGATCAATCTATAATAATAATAATAATAATAGAATTATGATTTCGCATATAGAATATTTACACAAAAGATAATTAAGAATTAAGATCCAAGATAATAATGACCTCAATAAAAACAAAACAAATCCAATTTTATTCTAATTGATTACAAAAGGAAAGTAATTCAATTTATCATACATTTGCTAGGTGACCATTTGTTTTTAGTGTTTTAAAAGTACAAATAAACTAATCACAATTAAATTAAATTTTAGGAATATGGAGGGTCAATTTCTTAAAACAACTGTAGAAGAGATAAATTCTTTGAACACGAAAACGAGTGCAATAACAAATCGAGAAAAAAAAACAAAATATGTATATGTATGTATAGAACGTATGTATTTACATAAAAATTACAAATTCTGTTTATTCCACTCAGATTTGTTATCTATATATTGAAGAAATTGAAGCATTATTTTATTGATAAGGAAAATTTTATTTGTATTTAAATTAAAAAATTTTTAAGTGGACCACTTGAATAAGTAGCACTTGAAAAAAAACATATTTGTGTACATACATACATCTAATTATCCCCTAAATTCTAAGAGAATTTTCATAAACAACTATTTTAATTAAGCACATTAGGAACTGCTTAATATTTTTTCATTTAATTCAAAAATGATCTTTGAATATTCCATATAATACTTTGAATATGGTGTATGTTCCCTGGTATGAGCGAAATAGTGACATGGGCATTTAAGTGTCTCCGAAGTAAGTGATAAAATTAGGAACTGTGAACATTGGTCGCATTTGGAGCAGAATATAAAATTCCTTTACGGAATATAGACACTAAAACAGGATGTTGGGTTAAATTCTCTTACTATTGATCGATCTCACGACAATATGAGTATGCCTGTATTTAGTATGTATTTAACCACCTGTATAAAGCAAAATGGCCTGTCACACAAATTTGCATGGTGCCTACATATGTCTTCGGTAAAATTCATCAAACAGAGCTCATTTAGTAAAATAAAAGTGATCTACCTTATCGACAATTAGAATGATTGCCTTATCTACACAGTTTATTTTTAATTAAAACCCGGTAATTTAATTTGAAAATTTTAATATCTTATCAAATTTATATTCATTCAGATCAAACATATCTTTCTATCACACATTTAAGATTTATCATTTGATGTGAGTTTACAATATGTCTGTTCAATTGAGCATTTATGATGAATTCGTTATCATTTTAATATTATAAAGATCTAAAAAGTTGTCGACATAATCATGACTATTCGAAATCAGTTATGACATTATACAAAATACACATACCTACATACATATGTGTATGAAATGAATCAAAGTATTTATTACACACTGAGCTACATTTTTAATCTTTAAGTTAATATTGTGTCGTAAACATTGTAAAGTTCGTCGAATTTTTTGTTATTGTATATATTATATAGCACCATATGTACATATTTTGTTGTTGTCTTTAATTTTAATTATTATCATTAAAGTATGAAATAAAAATGTACTTTTTTTGTTTGGTTTCATACAAACTAAAAGCCATTTAAGCATTCATTGAAGCTTTTGTATTATTTTTTTTTCAGTTCGTTTAACCTTTGCAAGGTTTGATTAAATTTAATCAAATCAAATAAAATAAGGTAGAAAAAATTCTATTAAAAAATTAATGTTAATATTGACTGCATTTTTTTTTTTTGAAAATATGGAATTCAAATATTGAGCAAGGTCGCCTTCATTATACGAACTTCTTCTTTGCTATGGTGAAAAAAGTAGACTATTATAATAGTGTTCTCTTAACACTTTAGTTCTCTTATAGAAAACTGTCATGTTAAATGTTATACGGAATGCACGTAACAGAATTAATCCAGTTATTATAGATATTAGAAAATTAAGAAATTTTAATTGCAACTTAACATTTTTCAAACCCTAGTTATGAAAGTCCTAATTTCTAAAATATTTTAATAATCCAAAAAAATTTTTAATATTTTTTGCGAATTATTAATTTTAATTGACCTTCAATTAATTATTATCAATTCATATCGAATATTTCTTATCAAATTCAAATTAATATTTTCAAATCTATTATATAATTTGAAGATAATTACTTAATATTTCGAGCTTTAAAATGACAATGAAAAAAATCGCTCTTTTTGATTTTAATTTTTCAATAAATTTTTGTATGGTTTAATTCAGGAAATATAAACATAATCTGAAATATTTCTGACGTAAATTTATTATTGTTATAAATATTTTTAATGTAATTTATTCATTAAATTCAAGTTAAAATTATAAATTTATGGTAAAAATAAAATTATATTCAATATTACATAATTTACATAGTAGATTAATAATAATATGCGGTTCGAGAACGGAAAGCACTCCTTTCAAATTCTTTTTATCGCTACTAAAAAATTCTGATAGCCGCGAACTGAAAATTTTATGAATAAATGATTTCTACCATCCTTTCTTCCATTTCTTAGTTATTTAACATGTAAAGTTAAACCATTTCCTCCAAAGCAATTAAGAGATTATTGAGACTCAAAATTTTAGAAATTTTTTATTAAAAATAAATAAACCTAATCTAATTTTGGTGTTTAAGCATATACAAGTAGAAAGAATTTACAATTTAACACAATTTATTTCAAAATTTATCAAATATTTCTATATTAAAACTTGTAAACCAATAATAATATTCCTAATTTTAACTGCTTACTCGCATACAATTCAAATAATTTTCTTTATCTATAATACATACAATTTATTAATTAAATATTTACCTATACAAGATGATAATGCAACTTGTGTATTTCCAATTGCTGTAATTTGTGAATTTTCTAAACCAATTTCTTGCATACGATCACGAAATAATAAACCAAAAATTTGTACAAATCCAATAACGGTAACCTTTAAAACAAATATTTAAAATTTAAATTTCGTTATACAAGCACTTTTTATAACTGCACATGCTTATAAATTCAAATAAGTATGTATGTATAGGTATTAAAAAAAAATTTACATATGCAATTCCAGCTGCAATCGAAACTAACCAACCCCAACCACCATCTGGTGCTATAAAATCATCACCATAATCACTTTTATTACGACGTTTTTTCTTTTCCATATTTTTTGATTTTAACATTAATTTCAATGAATTTGAATTTTTTAATTATTTTTTTTTAAAACTTATTTCTATTCTTTTTCGAAATTACACTTAATTTCTTGTTAAAAATAAATGTAAAAAATGCACCTAATTTTTGTATTTCATTAAAATTTGCTATGACACTAACATAATTTCATATTTATTTAAAATCACAGCAATATTTTCCGATAGCGATAACATTAAAAATAAATCGGCTACAATTTATGATATTGTAGATGATAGGACAAAAGTTTCGTTATTACTAAATTCTTATTCCATTCCAGTAGACAACGACGACGACAACAAATTTGAAGCTTACGATTAAAGCTATCAAAAAAAAAAAACAAAAAGAAATAGCACACAAAAACCTAAAAAAACAAAAACAAAGTGTGTGTATTATCACCGAGTTATTAAAGAAATGGTTAGAGGTCACTTTCTCGAATGACTTATAATAGAAACTCAACATTTAGAAAAAATATTTTGACTACTTGAATGAAATTAGAAGAAATTATTTATTTAATGTTATTTTAAGGAATTACAGAAAAACATCTAAAAACTTTTATTGCATTTAAAATAAAGATTTTGAAATTGAAATACTTTGGAACCCAATTTTGTTCCATGCTGAAAAATTTTAATACAAGTCAAATAGCTACTATTCAAAATTAAATTGTTCATGTGGCAAGATCTGAATTTTTTAAAATTTATACAAGTTTGTTGAATTTATTTTTTTCAAAAAATTGTTTACGATTTTTAAATTGCTTTCTATATTGAAATTGTGCCAAATTGTGATATGATTTTCTAACATAATTTTACTGGAACTTTACCTCAATATAATATCAACATAAACAACAAAATGCAATACAATATATTATGTATAATGTGCCAAATAAACACGAGACAAATCACAGTTTCCTAAAAATATTTATTTTTAAAATTAATAATGCTTTAGTTACTGCTCGCGTATACAGAAATATAACAATATCATTTAATAAAAAAAAATTTTGTTATGTTTACTTAAATATTTATTACCGTGCAGACAGATTATCAAAATTTTATTTAAAAAATTAATTATTTTAAAATTATGAACGCATACGCTAACATTGAAGTAAAACTCGAATAGTGAACTAAATATTTCGAATCAATCTTAATGTCGCTTAATAGTTAAATACTAATAAAATTATTTAATATATACAAAGTCATTTTTTATAGGTGCAAAAATGAAATTTCTAATGAGCGTTATGAAACAATTAAGTTTTAGAAAAAAGCTTTATGCTTAAGAAAAAATTAAGAAAATTTACAATTTTTATAGCATTTAAAATAGCAATTATAACAAAATTATCGCATAAATTTCAATTATGCGATATTAGGTTTTAAACAAGTCTTACGTACCTACAATCTATATAAGTAAATATACTTAATTAGTAAAATAAAATTTTATTATCAACTTATGCTTATGCTCATATACGTGTTCAAAATAACAGGCGAGGCGCAATTGTCGGTAACCAATAAAGCCAATATAACATATACATTCAATTTTAATTCAATAATTAAGTAATTAAGCCTGACAATTATTTTTTATTTAACACTTTTGCCTAATTGCATAAAATGCATATTGCATGCTTGTCAAAAATATCAATCAAAATAAGTAATGTATTTTCCTATCTTTTTATAACTATGTGTAATAATTTTGCAATAAATAAAGTTCCCTCTATTTTTAATGAATAAAAAGCACAATAAATAAAATAAAATTATTTATAATTATCACTCTCGTGTATATTGTAAATAAAATTTATAAATTAATTGTGATCCAATTAATTCAGTATTCCTATTTGGTACAAAAATCTAGAGTAGGTATGAAATAAAATGCTGAAAAACAATTATTATTGTAATTCATTTGATATAAAATACAAATAGTGTTAAGTGCAATATTTTAATAATTAAATTATTATTCAAGTTTTATTATTGCAAATTGTTTCGAATAAATCAGTTGTGTTAAATTTTGATTCAGTTAGTTATTTATGGTCTTAAAGGGAGTTTATATGCGCTTAAATTCCCAGTACCAATTAATTGAACTGTTTCTGACAGTAATCAATATAGTTGCGAAAATGAAAAAGAGCCTTCAGAAAAGATTGTTTCAGTCAAGATAAAAATTCTTAAATATCTATCACTGATTTTTCTTTTAGTGAAAGCTACTTTTTATCTTTCACTTTATTTTCTTTCATTTTTTGTGACAGTGATGATAGGAGATATAGTTTCTAATTATTATTTAAGATTTTAAAATTTTTTAAAAATTCTCTAATTTAATTTGACCATAACTAAATTGATCAATATAATATTAAAAAAGAAAACATTTATTTCAAATGCGGAAAAAAACAAAAATTAGAACATAAATATTTTTAATTAGAAATTCTTCTCTATCAACATACAAACATAAAATTATTCCCGATTATTTTTGGAACATTTCAAAATCTATTTTTTATTGTAGTTCTCAATTTAAACTTTGTTGATAAACAGTACATTGACTTATTAAAGCTTTTGTTTTTATTTTTATTTCATACATAAAGTATATAATTGAGGTTAAAAGTTGTTGCATAATTTTAATATCATGTTTATTAAACTACTTAATTGGATCATATTTAAAAATTTCTCGACTATATATTCAAAATATTAAAAATTTGTTATAACATTATTTGAACTAATTCCAATTAGAATGTACAAAATACGTGCCGGCAAAAATTTCTCATTACCTAAAGCTTCTTTATTTAAATTAATTTGTAAAAGGTACTACAAAGCTTTAAAACAATTTCTACATAAAATTTTTTGCTAAATTATTTTGAAAGCCTCTACCTACAAAGCTAGATTTCATTATTTTAAATAAAATTTAAAAATCTCAAAATTATTCTAGGCTATTTTTCATTTAAATAATTATACCCGTACGAACGTATGTTCGAAGGGTATACTAAATTTGCCTTACCGTTTGTAACGCTAAGAAATAACGGTGTTAGATATAGACTCAAGTGTATGTTTTTGATCAGCGTCAAATTCTGAGTTGATTTAGCTTTGTCTGTCCGTCCGTCCGTCCGTCCGTCCGTCCGTCCGTCCGAACGATAACTCAAAAACTAATTGAGCTAAGTTCACCAAAATTACACAAATGATTTATTGTAGTAAGTGCCAGAACCCTATTTAAATTGGACGTGATCGGGGTACCGGTTCGGGTAGCTGCCATACAACTTCAAAATTTATTTGGCTATATCTCAGAAACTATAAAAGTTGTGGTATTTAAATTTCACACAAATGAATATATTAGTAGGGCCAATGTGTCTCATAAAAATTGTTGAAATTACTTGGCTCATTCTGGTACCTGCTATACAACTTCAAAAGTTATTTGGCTATATCTCAGAAACTATAAAAGCTGTGATATTGAGATTTCACACAAGTGAATATATTAGTAGGGCCGATGCTCTTGATAAAATTTGCTAAAAATTTCTTGGCTCTTTCTAGTAGCTGCCATACAACTTCAATAGTAGTTTGGCACATCCAGTATTTTGAAAAATACATAGTACTGAAATTTATGGTAATACGGCAACTTAAAGTTATAGTCTGCCCCATAGTTAGTTATGGCACATTAGTTATTCGCACATAGGATAACGAATTCGTACGGGTATCACAGAGTTGACAAGGTCAACTCTATTTTTTTTTCTCGTTTTATTTAAAGTTTAATAAATTATATATCATCTTCATGTAAATAATAATATTCTTTTAATATCATTATCGCAGTATATAAATTATTCTATTTAGAACACAATAAAAAATATTCCTTAACAATATTACAAACAGTCAATTTTAAATCACATTGTACAAATTTTTAATACTTTACAAAGCTGCTACAACATGTCGCTTTTTCCGTCGTATAAAAATTATTTCAAATGTCCAACTTATTATTGTAATCATTGTTAAAAAATTTAAAAATTGCACTGTGACTGCGTAATCTGATCTGTCACGAATAATTCCTAAAATTAAAGAAAGAATTTATCTTTAACTCTTTAATATCAATATTATAAACTCATTATAATATTGTGAGTATACAAATTTTCAATTACCTACAAGTGGTCCACATATCATAGGGAATATACCACCAAATAAACGATTAATACCCAAAGCTCCTGGTAATTTTTTCAATGGAACATAATCTGGTATAATTATATTCCAAAATATTGTTCTAAAAGCTTTACCAATTCCTAAAAAGAAGAATGCTATACACAAAATATTGTATGAAGGACGTAATCCAATAATAAATCGACAAATTGCCATTCCAGAAATTCCAAATAAGTAATAAGTTCGACTACCCCATTTTACTTTTTTTACAAGGAATTGAATTAAAAAACGAAATGCTAGATCCGGAATAGCTGGCATTGACATTAAAAATGCAACTTGATTATTTTCCAGACCAAAATCACTTAAAATGAATGGTGTTAAAATTGAAAAATTTACTTCAGCAAAAAATGCAATTGTTAATCCAATAACAATATTTAAAAAGACGTAATCTTTAAGTAAATCTAACTCAAAATTAATTATAAATTTTTGGAGAAGTGTAAGTTTAGTTTTATTCTTTGTCAAACCAGAATTACCGCTTTCTTCATCATTTCTTTGTGGTAATTTATTTGAAGTTGCATTTTTACATTTACATATATTTAAATCTTGTTTAGGGTTATTGTCACGAGAAATTATTGAAAATTTTCTTTCTAAAGCTTTTGAAACACTATAAATGGAAAGTTGCCTTGTGTATTTTCTTGCTAAATTTTCTTTTGATTTATAAATATTATCTCTTGTATGCATCATTGGTATTTCAGGATCTTGAGCCAGAACTTGAATATCTGCAGCTGAACCATTATCATTTTCTTCATTTTCATTACAATTTTCTTCATTATCTGTTGACGTTTCTTCATCATCTTCTTCAATTAAACAATTACAAATTTTACAAATATCTTCCGACTCTAACTTATCATCTTCATTCTTTAATGGTTCGGATTCTTCAATTGATGTATTTTTCTTTTTCTTAACATGCCATAATACTGGTTGATAAGTCAGTGCACATACTAAACCATGTGCTGCTATTCCTGTTACAATTAATAAAGTACCTTGTGTTCCATAAACATCCATTAAATATGTTATAATATATGGAAATATTACTGGTCCAATACCAGTTATTGTCCATGTCCAACTTGAGGCTTTTGATCTTTTTTCTTTAAAATAAACATTGAAAACTAATGAGTTCGCTGATATAACAATACCGAAACCAAAAGCTAAAAATAAATTTAACATGTTAATAAATTTAAATGCTAACAATAAAATATTCTTACCTAATAAAAGTCCAAATGAAAATAAAAATGCTTCAAATGAATTTGATACAGAAGTTAAAAATATTGCTAACGTAGAAATTATTGAACCAACAATACCAACTTGTCTATATGAAAATCTTCGGAACATAGGACCGTTTAAAAATCCACATAATGATGAAACAGCTGAATTTATATTAATTATTGATGTTATTGCTGAATGTGATAAACCTATGTTTAATAATTTATCACGATATATTAGACCGAATTGTTGAAATACTGGTAAAACTGATAGCTAAAATTATATTTTTATAACTAAATTTTATTTATATAAAAAAAAATATAAAACAAATTCTTGATGTAAGTTTCAAATGTAATACTTACGTTGGATAAACCTGATGTGATACAAATGATCCAAGCATAACCTCCATCTGGTGGAATAAAATCATCGCCATAATCGGATTTATTACGATTTTTCTTCTTCTTTTTTTCTTTTGCCATACTTTACTGTCGTCTAATATAAAATCATTTATAGATTAATTATATAATTCAATTTAAAGAAAGAAAACAATTTAAAATTCTCTGAAATTTGTTACAGCTCGATAAGCAGAAGTAAAAACTTTCAACTATGACATAATTTAAATAATTTTTGTAATGTCGTCACAAATAAAAATGAATAGAAAATATTTGTGTAAAGTTCCAGAGACCTTAAATACGTATTTGGTTTTCAATTTTGGCACTTAATGTGTCAGTAATGCCCAAAAAATTTAAAAAATTCTCAAACATTGAGAAATTAATTTACTTTACTTGTATGTATTTAAAAATTTATAAATCCTGTCATTATAATTTTGTATAGCGTGTGACTTTTTATTTGTAAACATAAAATAAAAAATAATTAATTGTCATTCCAATATTTTAATTGTTACGTTTCAATTGCGTTCGATAAGATTTTTTTTTGGTAAAATAAACAATAACATTACTCGAGATAAGATTCGATTGTTATTCAATTATAACATGTGCTTTACTAGAACTTACTAGTTTAGTAATTAAGCATATTTGTTTACATTGTGATGTTTACTGATTTTTCCGATATGATTTGCAAAAATCTAATCAAATATTGAATTTAAATTTAAATGATATAAAATAAGCCAAAACATTTTTTGCAAGAGCTGTAACCTACTATGTACACATATATACTATGAAGTGCAAGAATGTAGAATAAAAATTTTAGTTTTGATTTTCTAATTAAAACTATTTATGAAATTAATATTTATATTTGATAACTCAAACATATTACAGGAACCAGTGTTGCATTTCAGAAACCAATTTTTATAGTCAAAAACATTATGTTAACAGAAGTCAAGAAATTTATGTTCATAATTGCATAAAAATATAAAATTCTATGCCCTATGGCTTAAAAATAAAACAGACAAAGTTGGAATATCTTAATGTTTGAATCCCGTAGATGCATACAAAAACGTTATCCAAAAAAATTTGGTTTAATTAACGCATAAAAACTGCAGCAAAAAAGGTTATTGAAAGTTGATTCGGCAATGCAAAAATTAAACAAAAGTACCCTATTAAACTTAGATTTAGCAAACTTGGCTTTGAAGAAACAGTTTGAAAAATTCTTATTACCCTTTGTTCAATATTTTAATTTTAATGAGCTATTAATATTATTTATTTGCTTTTTATCTAATATTTTCACTATATCGCATAAGTACTCCATTATATACTCATTTTTAATAATATCTAAAATATATATAACAAATGATAATAATAATTATTAGAAAATATTTTCATACTGATATATTATTTTATATATTACTATACACTTATATATGTACATATATATATTTTGTTAAAGTAAAGTAATAATTTTTGACGCCACCAATGTGCTTTTGTCATAAATCACAATACTACAAAAAACTGCTTAAAAATAAAAAATTATTATAAATTTTTTATAATATATTTAAATTTTGGTGAATCATCTTATGAAATGTCTTATATAACCTTCATAAATTTTAATTAAGAGTGTATGAATTATTTAAGTGTTTCATTTAATTATTTATATATTAACTAGGTTATGCAGATTTAAACATTACTTTATATTTCCTTGAGCCAAAATTCTACAGTTCGATTTTAAAATATTCTACTATGTAATTTAAAAATGAATTATATACCTTTTTTACAATGTTTTACTTTAAATTCAATAACCGTTCCCGAACTAGTTTCATTTATAGCTCTTAATTGATCCGGTGCCGATTCTTAACTGACATATTAAAATAATATTTAAAATTGATAATATTCTTTATCTTCATATATAATACGAAAACGTTAGTTTATCAAAGACAATAACATAATTAGATTGATAGCTTATCATTATAAAAGTTTTACTATTAAAAAATTTACGTAATTTATAATAATCTTTGATTATAGTAAAATTTAATGTACTCATATAACACGCATAGAACGTGTATATAAGTATTTTGAAGCTATCATTCAAATAAATTTCTAAATTATACTCAGTTTAGAGAAAATTATTTTGTATATTTTGATATGCGTACACGGCCCACACACGAACAGCTTTCCGAAAAAAATTTATGTATTAAATTTGGAGTAATATTAAAAATTTTATGTATATTGTAAATTAGCCTATGAGTGGATTACTCAAATATTTGCCTAACTAATATTATCTGTAAATATTTTAATGTTGATATAGTTAGTATTTTATCTTAAGTGTTTTAAGAAAATTTATTCTAATTGTGAATTTTATCTGTGAAAGTTCTATAATTGATTTTTATTGATTGGGAAGAATTCTCAAAACTTTGTATTTTTATACATATTACCTTATATATATATTTTTACCGACCGTATTGTGTAAACAATAGGTAGGTTATGTGATGGCAACAAATTTTGCATATCGAGTTTTCGGTGGGAACGTACTTCTCCATAGTAGGGAAGTGTAAATAAACTATTTTTAGCAACCTGTCGGTCTGTCGGTCTGTCGGTCTGTCGGTCTGTCGGTCTGTCGGTCTGTCGGTCTGTCGGTCTGTGTGTGCACGCGTGTAACTCAAGTTCGGCTGAACCGATTTTGATGAAATTTTATATGTAAGTTTGTTTCCACCATGGCACGGATCGATCAACTTTTGGTATATATCAGGCCTCGGGAACTGCACTTTTTAGCGGGCCTGTTTTACATTTTTGAACATTTTGAAGAAAGTATTCAACCGATTTACTTGAAATTTTATATATAAGCTCAGCTCGACCGTCCGCAAAAATTCGTATGTTTTGCAAGAAATCAGGCATCGGCAACTAGACGTTTACTACGGGCCAAATATACATTTTTGTGTATATAAAGAGAAATAATCAACCGATTTCATTGAAATTTAATATATGAACTCCTCGTGTTAAAACAATGAACATATAAATTTTTTGGAAAGATCAGGGCTCGAAAACGGATTTGCGGGCCGATTTTACATTTTTCACCATATCCACAGAAAACATTGCTGGAATTTCTTGAAATTTGATATTTGAGTTCTGGTTGTTACCGAAACTAACTAGCGAGCATTTCAGGGAATTCGGGTAGCATAAAGCGAAACTCTACTAAGAGCCAAATTTACATTTTCCTAAGTATGTTAACTACAAGCTTACTAATGTCCTAAAAATTGGAAAGAAGTATTTAACAGACATTTTTATAATATTCTGTAACACTTTCATTTAACTAGACAATACACAATGCGGTCGGTTATGTGCTGACCACATCAGATTTTTTTCTTATCTATTACAAAATCGTTTATTTTAAATTTTCTCTATAATATTCGCTAATTCTTTAAAAAAAATACAAATCTTTATTAAAATAATAAAATTATTTCATAATTGCTAATTTTGATTTGGCCACAATTTAAGAATACTTTACAAATACTCGTACTTTACTAAAAGTTTGAGAAAATGTTGTTAAATTTAAGCTCGTTACAATCGAATCCTAACCTAGTTCTAGTTATTTAGTATTGCCTACTAATCACATTGTCTATTTTGTTAACAGCTAACATACTGTGAATTTATAACTACATTTCAGTATATCTTAATATTATTAACAATGATATTTTGTAAATCACAGCAAATTTTTTATTTATTATAAGTAAATATTTTTTAATTATAAATACAGGTATTTGAATTATCATAAAATACAAAATTATTATCGAAACTTGATGTTCCAACGACAAATATAATTTTGTACATTAATTTGTTGTCTTTGGTAACATTGGTCCTCTCTCATCTCTTTCAACTGCTCCATTATTATTGCTTGTTGTATCGTTTTGTGTTGCAGTATTAATTGCAGGTTTCGATGTCTTCTTATAATAATATTCGATTGACCATAATGTAATAGGAATCATTGAAATAAAATTCAAGAATACTAAGGCCATTTGAAAATTAGATTTATCTCTTATCAGTCCTAAAATTCATATAAAATAAAAACAAATTAAATCGAATAAATATTTACTAAAATCATACCAATAATTGGTCCAAGTGATAACATTATTATACCACCCAACATTCGATTTAAACCTAATGCAGCTGGCATTCTTTTTAATGGTACATGATCTGGTATTAACATACCAGAAAATATCATTTTTGCTCCACGAAATATTCCACCAAAAAACATTAATGTCACAATCCATGAATAGCTTGGATTTCGTGCAATTAACATTTCAGAAACTGTCATTGCCATAACACATATAAGCCAAAATGTACGATTCTCCCATTTAATGTTTTGTACAACATATGGTGTTATAATACGTGATATTAAATCTGGTATTCTTGTAACTGACATTGCAATCGTTATCTGTTGATATGAATAACCAAAATCACTTAAAAAAAATGGGGCTAATGTCGTAAAATTTTGCTCAACAAATTGGGTACAAGTTATACCAAGGCAAATATTTATAAATGTTTTATCCTTAAATAAATCTAAATCTAATAATAAAATTATTTTTTCCCGAATTGTTAATTTTTCTTTTATATAGTCTTTATCTAATTTTTTTCCATCATTTCCATGTTTTTCTATTTCATTAATATCAGTTTCTTCTTTAATGCTGACTGCGGTACTATTTAAAGAAAGCGTTTTAATTTCTGAACAATTACAAAATTTTTCATCTGGATCATATAAGAAATATGTGTCCAATGAACTTTTACGATTTATTTGTCTTAATTGATTTTCATTTCGTAGACCACAGAATATACAAACAGCTGCCGATGTATTTCGTTCTAAAACTTCTTTTTTTTTAACATGCCATTGAACTGGTTGATAAATCAATGAAGCAGCAAATGAATGCATTGCAATACCACAAAATATTAATAAAGTTCCTTTAATACCATATTGAAACATTAGAAATGCTACTAAATGTGGCATGACAATTTGACCAATAGCTGGTAAAGTAACAATAATACTTAAAGCTCTTCTTCGATTCTTTTTAAAATATGTTAAAAAAGCTACTTGCTTAGCTGATATAACAAAACCTTTCCCAATACCTAAAATTTATAAAATTTTTGATATATTTTAGTAGAATACTATTTCAGTCATGCAGTCTTACCCAAATATAGAGCGTAAATCAACATGAACATCCAGAATGTTTCAACGTATATCATAAAATAAATTCCAGATATGAGACCGAGTGATGCTAATAAAGCGACTCCTCTATAAGAAAATTCTCGAAAAATGTAACCATTAAAGAATCCTGATAACGATGAAACTGCAAAATGTGTATTAACTATTGATGTAATTTCTTTATTCGTTATTCCAAGTCCAAATAGTTTATCCCGAAAAATTAGTCCGAATTGTTGAAAGATTGGAAACATACAGATCTGCATCATAATCATAAAATAAAACAAGAAATAATTTTATATTTAATTTAAAATTTCTTGAAATAAGCACAATTTATAAAGCTGTAATTTAAATAATAAAATAAATAAAACTTGCACTCGTAAATCCGCTTGCAAAACAAACTATCCAACCCCATCCGCCATCTGGTGGTACAAAATCTTCTCCATAATCTGATTTATTTTTCCGTTTTGTTTTTTCCATTAGACATTGAAGTTGAAATTTTTAAAAATTTCAAATAGACTACAAAGATATTCAAATTAAATTAAAATATTAAAATCAATTTTCACAATTTACAATAATTAATTGTTAAAAAAATTGTAAAAAAAATTAAATAAATTTGTGTATTTTTTCTTTATATTAAAATTAAATAATCTATAATGATAGTGCAAAAAAAGCAGAAAATAATTGAGTTTATTATTTTAATTGAACCGATTAAAAAAAATTAATTTGTCTTTTCTACAACACCAAGCTACTGTTGTACCAAAAACATAACCCGTAATTTATAGTTCAAATCAAAATATAAATTAAAAAAAAATGTAATTCCTGCCGAACAAACCAACTAGCTCACCAATCGACTAACCGATTTGATGGATGAAAAACCTGTAAATTAAAATTTGATTAAAGTCAATTACTAACAGCGTTGTTTTTGCTGTTGGGCATGCTTTATTTATTAACAAATTTTACATTTTCTCTGTTTGTATTTTTTTTGCTTTTGTAATAATGTTGTTTTAGTATAATTTGAATACCATGCCAGCCAGGACGGTATGTCTGTCAACTTTTATTTTTATTCTTTCATCCACATTATCATAAAATGTCAATATTTTATTGTTTATTTTTTTTTCGAAAGTTATTGCAAAATTCTTGAAAGTGGTCTTTATGTGTTAATTAATATTGATTATCATTTCTGAATTTTGTATTACAAATATTTGCAATCAATATTTTTAATATTTAAATGAATTAAAAGGGTACTGATCTAGTATAGTTGCATAAGTGGAACTTGAAATAGATTGTCTTTTGCTATTATACATGTTAAGTGTGTATGTATGTATGCATAAATTGATTTGCGAACTAGATTTTGAAGCAAAACAAGCTAATTTCATTCTTATATTCCGTTTTTCCGACTTAGATTTAAAAGGGGTGAACTGCTACTTGTGGAGTCGTAACTCTAAGTGATTTTAAGTTTAAATTGAAAAGTTAAGTAATAAAATGAACAAATAATAATAATACAACGATTCCTGCTCTCACACCGCTTTCATTCTCTTAATCTTTTTAAATCAGAATATTTCAAATTTAATTCTGATTGAATATTTGACTAAATAAACTTCAATGTTAAAAAATTTTCTTTCTTATACCATAAGGCATAGACAATAAAATTTGACACTTCTTATTACGAAAAATTTTTATTCTCTGCAACTTGTCGCGTTTCAAATTATAGCTTTTAAACGATTAAAACACGTTTTTCATGAATTATTTGTTTAACAAACAAAGATAAAACCGATTCTCAACCAGATCAATACTAATTTATTTTAAAAGGGAAATTTATGCAAAATTAACATTAATATGTAAATAATTAGAAAAAACAACAAAATATTTTAGAAATATGTAGCCGACTTTATTTTGTAAACAAATTTTTTAATGTGTGTGATTAAACTTTGAATAATTATTATTAAAAATTTTAATGAGCCGTATAACAAATGACATAGGAAGCTATTATGTATAACAATATTTTTTTCGGTAATCCCCTTTTTAAAGCCGCTGGTAATAATTTATTGAAAAAATATTCACTTATTTTGCATTCTATTAGATTTAATAGAGGGTAGTCAGCTAATTAAGTTATCACAGTTATTGTTTATTGTTTGTTTTTACCACAATTATTATTTACCTTCAAACATATCACAGTAAATTACGTTATGAAAATGATAAATGAATTGACTACCGCACATTTTATGTAAATCAATAATTAGAACATTTTTAAAATTCTGTACATATACATATTTTTACTTTAATTTATATACTTACATAATATATGTAAGCATATATAGACCATTGTGGATAAGATTTTGTATTTATTCTATTGTTTCATGTAAATTTGCTAATTAGTATAAAAAAACTTTACTGCCTTCCTGCTTGTAATGCCGAAAAGTTTAAAAAATTGTAAACGATTTTTGTTTACTTGTACAAATATTCAATCAGGCATGACTTACACAGTCTGTATGTGCTCGACGTCTTATCTCAGTAACCACTTGTATAATATTGTATTTATTATGCGACTGTCTTCAAAATTTCTTGATATTAACTAGTCGAATGTTTAGAAGATTTGCAATATCAAAAAATTTATTTAAAATAACTCACATACAGCTTACAAAACGAAATGAAATTTCTTTTTGTTAAGTCGAATTTTGCGTAAATTACTGTCACGACAACTGCTATCATGCAAATCAAACTAGAAAGACACTATTAAAGTAAATTTCCAAGTTTGAAATATCTCACTCCTTAACATAAAATTTGTATTATCATAATTACTGTTATAAATGTGTATAAAACATAGAACAGATAATAATTGAAGATAATTAGATTTCACAATGATTTGAAAGATTTTCAGTGGCAGGTGACTATTATAATGTGCTAAAATAATTAACATATGATACGAGATTTTAAAATTAGAAAACAACAGAGTAGTGAACTAGTCATTACATATGGCAAAATTTATATCAATTATTTTAATTATAATTAGTATAATAGTTATTTACTAATCATTTGCTTGCTCAGAAACTTGCACCTACGAGTACTAAATTTAGTTTAAAACCGCACATCACCTGGTACAAAATGTTATTATGTATAAAAAAATTCCCCGAATAATTATAAATTGTATTTTTAGATTTTAATAAAAACTTATAAATCTGTGATTCGTAAAATTACCTTTAATTATATTTAAATGAAAAAAAGCACTAAGCCGACTGACTTAAGCAACTATAGCTCAACAGAAATAATAACATATTCTAATTTTTTAGCAATCTTAAATAAATAATTTTATATTATTTGAAGAATAATTGTCAGTCAATTACAATTAAGTACTTATATTATTTAAAGATCTTAAAGATACTCGTATTAAAGATATTTCGTTTATGATGTTTTATATTTAATATATTTCAACTGAAAATTATTACTAACAATATTTTTTGTTTTGTACTTTTATTACCGTCATGTATAACATGACAAAAGCTTTGACCTCTCAGAAATGACGTGAAAACTGTTATTTTTTTTATTTGTGAAATTTTATTATCCAACAATTATTATTTAATTAAAAATTATTGGAAAGTTTAAAATGTAAGCAAAGAAATAAAATTCCGAAAAAAAAATCTATTTTTGAATTAATAGAAAAATCGTACTGGTCAAATGTTAAATTAAAAAATAAAAACCCGTAAATTGACATCACTCCAACATCAATGAAATTCTGAAATTTTATTACGTAGGTATACATAACTTTAGTTATGTATACATAACATAGGTACGTATACATAACTTTAGGTATGTCCATCGCAATTGCAAAACCTGACATCGCAATTGCTTTAATACTGATCACACTGCTCAATTCAACAATTATTAGTAAATAAAAATTGAATTTAGAAGAGAAAAACTTCAAATTTATGTACAAATGGAGATGTATTATAACCGAAAATAAATACAAAATATTTTTACTTAAAAAGACCTAATTATTTTCTCCAAAATATTTAATGACAAACCACAGATGTGAAATACTTACTAACATGACTTCAGTATTGTACTCATATCATTTCCCTTTATTACAACAATGTACAAAAATCAATTAACTTTAATTATAAGTTCAATTAGCCACATATTGTTTTTATTTAAATGTAATCAATGTTTAACATGTAAAATTCCCACCAAAAAATTCAAATAACTATTATTCGCACTTTATGTAATTCAGGTAAATATTTTTAAACTACTTTTTGAATTTCGTGTATACATATACATAAATATGATTTTAGCGTGTACTAGTAATATTTACAAATTTAAAATTTATTTATAAATTGACACTAATGTCCCAAACTCAATGGAATAACACCTAAAACAGCAAAATTCGATAAATTTAAAAGCTTCTAAGTCATAAAATGAAATTCTATGCAATGAGACTGCAATAACCGTAACTTCAAAATTAGTTTATTTTCTACTTTTGAAGTAATTGCTGCCTTTTATATTTCACTAATTTTGATTTGATAGTCTAATTTATTATAATATTTTTTTCGAAAATTTTGTTTTTGCAGCAACATACTAAATTGAAACTTTTACATGTTTTTTTTACGTGAGAGCGGGACTCTATGACACTTCTTATATCGACGTCGCTGAAGCACCACAGTGTTAAGCGCCCCACAACCTCACATTGGCTCACCAAATGCACTACCATCTCATCGTGTTTCAAGTAGAGACGACCCAGTCACTCTCTTTCTTTACCCTTTCTTTTCAGATGAACCATGAAGACATAATACCCAGAGAGTATTTCAACCACCAGCCTCAAATCTGGACAACTCTATAAGATCAGTTTCGTCCCTCAGTAAAAAATTTTTTTGTTTATTGAAAATGTTTAGCACATTTTTTAAAAGGAACATTCTAGAAAATTTAAGAAGTATACATTGCATTAATAATTGTGTAGTTTTTGCATTATAAGTATAGCAAAGAGCATACTAATATTATAATACTGAAAAAGTAGGTTTAATTATGTCTTTAGGTATTTTACAAGTGGCATCAAATATAAATTCATTTCCATTATTTTCATTCAATTAATAAAATATACAACTTCAATTTTACTTAATTATTTTGTTTTGTTTTCATCGGAATGCAGTGACTTAAATTGCCTTCTAATTAAAAACAAATATTGGTTTACATTCAAAATAATGTTTTCAAAAATATTTAATCAAAATAATTGTTAAATAATAAAAATATTATAGATACACTATCGATATAGTGTCGGTAAAAAAGTTCTTATTAAAATTATTTTAGTAATAGAAACCCACAATAAAATTTAAAATAAATGAAGGCTAGGCTTTTGAAAAAAAAATATGTTAATTTGAACTAGAATTATTTTATTCAATAAAAATTCTAATAATGTAAAATTTCCAAAATTGTATTTAAAATAAATTAATATTTTCAAAGAACAAAATTAAAAAATTCTCAAATATTTGCATAATAACTATAATTTATAATAGGGAAAAATATGTTAGTTTTAGAATTTCCAGAAAATTTGCAATATTCATTTTATACAAATATGTGATTACAGATTTTGTATTTAAGCAAATTTGTGATATTAAGAAAATTTCATATACAATATTTATACACCAATATTCTGTTAGGCACTTCCCTTAAAAAATTAATGTATTTTTCGAGAGTATCCTATCAACTTAAGTGATGCGACTAACAGAATATGAATGAAAGTTTCAGAATGCAAATTCATCTTCGCTGGAAAATTAATTACAAATTTAATTTTATTTTTCATACATATTGTTATTCATCCTATTGTAGCTGTAAAGTGCATATCAGGATTAAAATTAATTTAATATTATGCACTGATAAGAAATTAAAATTTTTTTATTCGTACTACTTTACTTATACGAATAACATTCGAAATGCAATAACTATATTTTACTTCTACAAACCTTGAAATAATTTTAAAGAAACTAAAAATATTTTTTAATACATACTCACTTACATGCTTTTATATTCACACTTTTATATTGCACTCATACGTTATATGTATAAATCGTGTAAGTGCAATATTAGTGACGGTATTTTTATACTACAATTATTATTACTTGGATTAAATTCAATTGAGAAAACAAACTATTTTTAATATAAGTATAATGCACAATATATAATGTAAAATTTTCTACCTTAGTAATTTGATTAACACCTTTGAATATTTGTTTTTACGCTATCAATCCGTCAATTATTTTATGAAAATTTATAAAATATATTCCTTAACATTATAAAATTAGTTATCATTACTTTCCTACATCATATTGTACATTCAAATTCATTATTGAAATGTTTAGATTTGAAAATTCATTACCAATTTATATAATCATCATTGCCTTAATTATCACAAAACACAACACTATTAAATAAATAAAATAAAAATTTTCAATTTGTAATCCAATAGCTCGCTCCAATATATGACTCGATGCCCACTTAAAATATATAAATTATAAAAATTTTCTTCGCCCCCTAATCCATCCACTATATTATATTTTAGATTAATTAAATTGTTAAGTAATTTTTATTAAATTATTTTTATTAATAACACACAAAATTATCACCGTAATATTATTAGAATTCGAGCATGAAATTATATTAAATTAGAAATAAATATATAATTGCAATACAAAAAAAAAACGTGAATATGAAAATTTAGAAGTTAACAACAGCTTGTATCACAAAAACAAAAACTGTTTTTAATCGAATGATTTTAGACTCATCGTTAATTTTATTTTAAAAAAATTTAGAAAAAAAAAATAAAATTTCAATTTTTTCTAATTTAGAACCGTAGGGAATGCCAGATACATTCCAACTAAAATAAAATAAAAACAAACAAAGTACACTTGTTTTTTTAGTTTTGTTTTTTGTTTTAATTGTTTTGTTTTCTTTTCTTGTTTCACGTCTAAATAAATAGAAGAAGCTTTTATTGAAAAAAAAAACTAAAAACGCGAATTTATATTTCCAATTATTGCAAAATAATAAATAAAAGTATTTAATTCAACAAGTTAGTATGAATGGGGCGATTGCATTTTGAACTTGGCGAAGCATAACATTGGGTATTTTTGAAAATCCAGTTCTTAAAGTTAGAACTACAAAACTTACTTTTTTTTTGTGCATGAAGCTCTAAAAGCTTTGCAGTTTTAATCTTCAGAACTGAAATTTTAATTGATTTTGAATGCTGATATTTTTAATATCGACAATCCGAAATCTATAAAATCTGTAAAACTATACATAATTATTTATTGAGTTTCGGACATTATATTAATAATAATCTATAAAATCTATAAAACTTTAGGAAGGCTCTTTGCAAGAAATTTTTCATCATTTTCATTTTCAACATTATTTTTATGGATCCGTATGGTAAAGCAAATTTTGGTAGCTTTCTCTGATTCCTTTCCCCTATTTTACACAAATTCCACCTAGTAAGTAAAAAAAAAAAGAATCAAAATTGTAATTTAAAATAACATAAGAACTAATCAGGGGGATTTCCGATAATTTAGATATGCATTAAAAATTCTAAATTAAATATAAAAAGTTTTTTTAAACAATATAATTACAAATCAGCAGAAACTGAATATTTTACTTTTGCAGATTTATAATATATTCGGGTAATTTTTCTAATATATTCTTCTTTAATTTATAATATTTTTGCATTAGTTATAAAAAAAATTAAAAAATCCATTAGAACTTTAAACACAACTTTCACTGTCGAATATGCTATATTTGCAGATTTTGCAGTTTATCGAACTATTAAGAAAATAAGCTTTCTGTATTACTTAAAATATCAAAATGCATATATGTATACAAATTACAAAGAAATAAAATCGCATTTTTGATACACTATTTTTGTTCAAAGAAGATCACCCCCTTAACAACAATATGAAACAATATATTCAAACTTATTTATTGACTTCCTTTATTTATAAACAAAATATGATATATTGAATTCTCATATTATATATTTTGCGTACGTTTATATTTACATACGTATATTTTAGAAATGTACCCATAAATTATCAACCTTATATATGTACGTATACTAATTCAAATAAATACTATATAATATATGTGCATTACATTAAGCACACAAATATAAAATGTATTTTCAGTTGTATAATAGAAATATGTACATAAGCGAATAGAAATCTCAAAAAAGCTTTTCAATGAATGAATATTGTCAAGCAGTGAGCGAAACGATGAAAAATTTTTTTTATTGTTTTGAAATTCTTTCTTGTACACGTGGTTTTTTATTTACTTTTTTTGTTTATTATAAATAAAATTTACATAATAATATAATATACATTGTTATTTTGATTAGGCGGGAATTCTTTTATTTACCGGCGATATTTATAATATAAATGTAAATGAACATCATATAGTTTTTAAATATTTTCATTCTTATCTTTACAAACATATGTTTTATTTTGTTAAAATGAAATAGTATAGTGATTTGAATTCATTAATAATATAGTGTTATAGAATAAGTCTTAATTTGAGATTGTAAAAGTCTCAATTTGCAATTGTTAATTTTATTTTATATTAACATTTCAATGGAAGTAAATACTAAATGAAAAATGATTTCCTAAATTTATAATTTTGCAAAAAAAATTAGAAATTATTAATAATCTCTTTGATATAAAACAAAAAATAAAAAAAAATATATCGCCTAAATATATGCAAAAATGTAAAACTTAAAATATATAAACTTTTGCAAAATGCTTATTCTTATAAAAATCTTTTAAGATTTTAACACGCTAAATGTGTATAACTAAATTGAATAAAAAATATAAAATTAAATAAAATAGAGTTCTCTGTTTTATCGTTGCTACTGAGACTAAAAAATCTATTACTTATCAGTAGAATTATTACAAAAAATTTATAGCTTCAAAGTTCGTTATATATTACATATAAATCATGATGTATAAAAATAATAAAGCTCTTTCAGTTCATAAACCTAACCTAATTAATAAACTATTTACATATCTTAAATTTAATATGCTTATTCACTATTATGTGGCACATAAGATTTGGATCTAAAAACATATCTTTCAATAGTCCACAATCCAATTGATAGCAATGAAATAAAATTTAAAAGTAATAGAGCCATAGTATAATCTGAGATCTTTCGAATCCAGCCTACAATTAAAAAATAAAAAAAAATATATAAGTTTAAATACTATGAAATATATATTGATTTAAATACTTTAAATATATTTTAATTTTAAAAATATACGAATTCATATTTTATATATTTATAATTACCAATCAAAAAACCCATCGCAATCATAAATATTCCACTAATGAAACGATTAATACCAAATGCGGCTGGCATTTTTTTTAAAATAACATGATCTGGAATTAACATACCAGTGAATATTGATTTAGCACCTGAAAAAATTCCTTCAACGAACATAAAAACGACGATAGTATAATATGATGGATTCTGGGCTATAATAATTTCACCAATCATCATACCAGCTATACAAAATATCCATAAAGTACGATTTTTCCATTTAACTTTTAAACACTCCAGAATATGTGGTATTAATATTTTACTTGCTAAATCTGGAATTTGACCAATTGATAAAGCAAATGCTATTTCAGTATCTGAATAACCAAAATCTTTTAAGAAGAATGGTGCTAAAATTTTAAAATTTTGTTCGACAAGCATCGAACAACTTAATCCAAAGCATATATTTAAAAAACGAATATCCTTTACTAAATCCATGTCAAAGAAATCAAATATTTTATGTAACCATGTTATTTTTCGATCACTACATTCTGTTGCAATGTTACAATTTGTTTCGGTTTTTAATAAATTTTCCGATTGTTCCAACGTTTTTGATTTTTCATCACATTTTTTGATAACACTTTTTGTACTTTCTAAACTATTCTGTTCATTTTTATTTATGTTAGAAGATGAAATTTCTTTCATTTCATTACCTTCGTTCAATAAGTGATTAGTTTCAATTTTTTCCTTGATTTCAATATTATTTAATTTTTCAACAGTATTATTTTGATTTGATTCTATATTTTCAATTGTTTGTGTGTTTCTCTTAACATGCCATTTTACGGGTTGGTAAGTTAATGAAGCAACAAGAACATTTCCAGCCAGAGCGCATAATATTAATAACGTTCCAGAGCTTGTGTATAAGTACATTAAATAGGTTATAAAGCCTGGCATTGCTATATTTGTTAAACTTGGTATACCTGCCACAATACTTAAAGCTTTCCTTCTTTTCACTTTAAAATAAGTGTTAAACGCCATTTGCTTTGCCGTTATGATTAGTTCCTTGCCAACAGCTAAAATATGGCAAAAATAATTCTTTTTAAGTAAAAGATGTTAAAAAAGGATCATTTGAATAAAAAACTTTTAAGTACAAGAAAAAGTGCTTACCTAAATAGAATACATAAGTTAATAAAAATAATGCAAAAGATTCAGCTAGCGATAAAAAGTATATTCCAGAAATTAATTGAATCGATCCAAAAATGGCAACTTTTCGATATGTAAATGTTCTAAATATTGGTCCGTAAAAAAATCCTGATAAAGCCGCAAATCCCATTTGAGAATTAATCATTATGGCTACTTGTTGATTTGTAATTCCATTTTCCTTGAATTTTTCACGAAATATTAAGCCGAAAAATTGAAATACTGGAAACATGAATGTCTAAAAATAAAATAAAAAAGAAAAATAAACATTTTATTTTTATATTTTTAATTTAATATTGAAATTGAAATATGTACATTTTTCAAAAAAAGTTTTACTATTATTTTTCCATAAATGCTTTCGGTTTCTTAAACAAAATTCTCTATAATTATACTTTGGAAATTTAACTGTTACTAAAACTGTTGGGGACTACTTTATACATTAGAGTTCAAATAGAAAAATTGACTTGATTATTGATTTTATTCACTAATATATGTATTACATTTTAAAAATGCGCTCTTATTGGCAATATTAAAACAAGTTGAAATAGCTTTTAAACAAATTGGTTTTTCATTTTTTAAGCTTCTTTATATATATTTATATATATATATATATATATATGTATCTGAAAGTATAATATCTATATAATATAATTCCCGTATATATCAACTAAATAAAATCTAAATATTATATCAACTAATAATTTTTTCTTAACCAGAAAAAATATTGAAATACATGTGGTAACATTGCTCAAACTAATTTTACTTAATAATAATAGGGGATGCCCCTTATATTTATGTAAAAGTTTAAATTCAATGGAAATTTTTTAAGAACTCGATATTAAACAATAAAATAATAAAGATTTAACATTTTACTCCTCAGAATCCCCAGAATTTAACTTAGCTGTTTTTTTTAAATTTATTACAAAAAATCTTTAAAAATTTTAAATATCTGAAAATAATATTCACAAAATTTAATATTCAAAATAAAATTATAAAAATTATAAAATTTTACTATTGGCAATTTAATTGTAAAAATTTTTTAAAACACACTTACATTCGTAATTCCACTTGCAATACAAACAATCCAACCCCAACCACCATCTGGTGGAATAAAATTATCTCCATGATCAGCTTTGTTCTTTCTCTTGATTTTTTCCACCATTCTCTTATAGGGATTTTTTAATAATACTAAATTTAAAAAAGGATTTCGTTTTTGATTTGCTTTAGTTTTCTACGTTTCGATGAATTAGTTGAATTACTGTATTCCTAGAAAATAAAATTGAATTAAAATACTGAAGCGTTGAACTGAATTTTTGTTTTGTGCAATAAAATACGTACAACTATTTCTTTTTCAATTTACTTAACAACTAATTTTTATAACAATCAGTCACAGCGTTTTATAATATCGTATTAAAAATTTAGAGCTTTCGTTTTGTCAATTTACTTATTAATATTGTTATAAAAGAGTGAAGGCATGTTAAGAGAATTTTACTCTGACTAGTGTAATGAGAATATAGATTGAATACTATATGTATTATGAAATTATTGCGATTTTTTACTTTTATCAAAGGGGAGAAATTAATCAACTGTAATCTTAAATGAGTCAAATTTCATTCTTTTTTTTTTATAAAAGGAATTTGTCTCACATTTATATTTTTTTTTTCATTGTTTATGTTTACACTTACTGGTCAAGTTCTTAAGAGTTTATATGTGCAGAGTAATTATTTGTAAAAGCGGGTATAAGTAGAAATTCATTTGCTATTATTTTAATTTAAAATTTTCACAATCTTTATAAATAAAGTATATATAGAGTTTTTCCCTAAATTAAATGTTCATCAAGTAAAAATTCGCAAATGAATAAAAATCAAAGAATAGGTTAATTTTTTTATTTGTCAAAATTTTATGGAGTTAACTTGATTGATAACATATTTGATATTACCGTAATAATTCAATTTTCTTGAAAATAAATTACGGTAATAATATTACGGTAATAGAACCAAAACTTTAACTATTTTAAGAATTGAACTTGTATTAAGATTATCGAAACACTACGCTTTCAGAGAATCTATTATATCTGCCAATTACGCAGAAAGTCAACCCTGATCCGATCAGCCGAGCTAATTTCCAAGTATAAAAAGAGAAGCAAAAATTTCACTATGTTCAGAATTCAGACGAATTCTGAGGTCTAATAACTTTTTTGTGTTTGTCTGATACTATGCCACTTAGTCTAGATGGTGCTTTAGGAGTACTATCCACTCGCAGTCAATGTGTTCATATCATGACAATTGCATTTTGTGACTTATGGATTAATTGCTGTGCCAAACAAATTTTGAAATTTTTGTCGTAAATTTGTTATATTTTATTACAAATATATTTAAACATAACATATTTTATAACTAAAATAATTTTATAAAAATTTTATTTTAAGTAAAATCATATAATTTATTCGGCAATATCAATTTGAAAATTTAGTATCGGCGCTTAAAAATTTAATTTTTATTTTATTTTTTTCAAAATTTTTGTTTTGTTTTTTTTTATTTTGGCATCTTATCAAATTTAAAGTTTTTTTTAATAACAAAAAGTTTACTTTATTGGAAAATTTTACAATAATACACGGACGATTGTTGTCAACTTTATAATTTTCTGCAAAATTTAGTACAGTTTCTTATTAAATTAACAATATATTTTTTAGTATATGTACTAGGTATAAATAAATAAATTCGTACTTATGTCAGTTCTTAAATATGAAATGCAAAATGTTCAAATTATGACAACTATTTTAATTCATATTATTTGCTCTATCATGCCGTATAATGTAGGTAAGCCAAGTTTTGCAGTTACTCTTTTTATAATTTACTTATATTAAAAGATTTTAACAGCTTTCACAAAAACCACGCGTTCAACTCAGCGTGTTCATTGAATTTATGGGAATACCCGTGAGATGCAATTCATTATAAATATTTCTTATAATTAGATTTCCTCGGCGAGTGGGGTGCGAAATACCCGCAGTAGGAATGCTTGTGGTAAGGGTCCATGAAAATCCAGTACAAATCCAGAAGCGTCTGATCCAGAATGGACGGCTGTCTGGTCTACGACTGATCCCTGAGGAACGCCAGAAATTGGTAGTGCTGCCTTGCACGAGGTATTTATTGCCAAAGGTTAGGAGAAGTTAGATATACTAAAATATAATTCCTTAAGTGCATACTAACATTCAAATTAAAAGCAAAACAAAGTGTTCCTTTGAATCTCATAACAAATAAACTAGTATTCTAACAAGTTGTTCCTACTAACAACTAGGCCATTGCAAAACTAATAATATTTTTAATTGCCCTTAAAGTTTAAATATGTAAATATTTCTCATGAGCCGTGCTAAAATTATTAAAAAATGTGTGAAAAAAAAATAAAATAAACATAAAATGAAATTTAAAACACGATGACTAATTTTCAATAAGTTTAAAAGTGATTAAAATATTTTTCTGTTTTTTATTACATTTTGATTAAATATAAAAATTGTATATAATTAATAACATCTATACATATATGTATCTTATAATGACAATTTAAAGTACAAACAAAAATAACAATATTTATAACAATGTGTATAGGTTTGCATATTGCACACAGATAGCAAATAGAGTATTTTTGTGATTTAAATAACAGTACTTCATGTGGTAAATATCACAATTTCAATATCATTTTACTTTTACTTTAAGAATTGAGTGTATACTCAAGTAATTAAGAAGAGAATGTGTCAAAACAAATTCGCCACCGGTAAAATGGGCTTCTTTTAGGCTTTTTTCTTGCTGTTGATTAAATTCGCAGCGGTAGTTTTGTTTAATTCTGACCAGTCCCATTTATAAATGTATGTGTATTTGCTCTTGTTCTGTTCTCAACTTAATACAGCATTATATGCAATTAAACGAAGGCATTCATTAAGAGAATCTATCAAAAAATTTTTTAATAATTCTACATATTTTTGCAAAAATTTACATTTTTTTTTAAATTTAACGTGAAAAACACCTTGAAAAGAGTACGTCCACACTTGAAATTTCGTGATCTGTATGTAAGAATGTTCTGGTAATATTAGCGAAGTTAAATTCAATATTGAAAAATCAAATTTGTATATAAAATATTTATTAAATTTCGCCAGTTCTACTTATTTTCCGTATATAGAATAGATTTTTTGGTATTTACGTATGTACTTACTTATTTATTTTTATACATGTACAAATATTTATGGTGTTCATATTTGTTGTAAGGTGATTTGTGTTTGTTTACTAAACATAATCTTTGTTATTTTTTTATCGTGTTTCTTAGAATTTAAAGCTCTAAAAATAAATATTTTTATATTAAATATAAAGTAATTTCTATATGTATGTACATAAAGTAAATAGAAAGCACTTATAATAAAGATATAGATCTGTTCTATCGAAAGAAGTTGTAGTAAAAATACAGACTATATAATTATACATATTATACGTATGTATGTTTCTACTTTAGAAATTTTTGCACAAAACAAACTTCCAGAGGATCAATTTCCGTATATATATGCACATACCTATATCATATGCATACACATGTGTGTAAGTATTATTGCTAAAATATTTTTGTGATTTACGACCATACGATTTATGCATACAAATTGTACTATTTTTGTACTTATTATTATTTACATTACTTTTCTTCTTTGCAAGTTATTGTTATTAAACCAAATACATATGTAATTACATACATAATACGAGTATACATATAATGTATATGAATTTATCGTTTGGTAAACAACGGTAGACAATATCCATTAAACTTCACTTTTTATATTAGTAATTTGTTAATAATTTAAAATCTCAAATAATTGAAATTATTTTGATTTTATTGAAACAATATTTAAAACAGATTTCACACGCGCACCTTAATTCTAATCGAAACACCACTACTAAACTACTAGTAATTACTGCACGTTAAAAAGGAAAACTGAATGACATTGACTGAATGAATTCTCAAATTCTAAAATGAGAAAAATAAATGAAAATGAAAGAGAGTAAAAAATTATTATTTTATTATATGTTTATGCATGAATATTTTAAGGAGTAAATTAAGTAAAAGTATAGAGTAAATTCAAATGTCTGATAACGTTTAGAATGGTAGTAAAAGTCAGATCGAAGCGTAACATAATCATTTGAATATTATTTTCCAATCGATTAAACATATTTTCTTTCTCTTATTGCAAGATTTTACAATTTGCAGTTTTGAGCAGTTATGAAAACCCTTTCTTAATTATTCTTGCTTCGTTACCTTTTAAGTCTACAAAAGGTTTTGACACAATTTATTATTATTCATCATATGAAATTTTCCAAAAATGGAGTTATTTTATAAAATTTTCACAGAATTTAAAATTGTACCCATTATTGAACATCATGCTCATATATTGGAACCATAAAATAATGATAGATTTTGTAACATGCCAAATAATAATTGAAATTGATTTACTATAAAATTCTCATTGAGTACAATATTTTAATAATTTTTAAATTTCTTTAATTTTTTTCCACACTGAATATGAAAATACAGAACCAGAGTTTCTTCTTATTCTCATATCACACATTCAATAATTCAACTCGTGTAGAAAAATTTTGTTCTCCTTATTATAGCATTCTTTTTAAAATTTTATAAAAAATCTCTTCTTATTTAAATTCTCCTAATTATACAGGTATTAATTTTATATAGCTTATAAAGTTTACTTATACGAGTATATTACAATATTATGGAGCAGTTGTACTTGTAGCATTCAGCAGATGTTTTGAACTACTATTTTCTTTATTATTTTTTTGCACTTCTCAGAATCTCTAACAATCATTAATCTCTCAATGTAATGTTATCCTAAATGTATGCAAGAAAAAACTTTAACTTAAATTCTTTCTTAGTAATTTTAACGTGTAGTACCTATAATTTATCCATCTTTACTACATAATTATGCATTTACCTACATTTATGTATATTTTAAGAGTTGTTAGGAAGTTATTTATTGTATATACTAAATAAAAATCTCTATTAAAAAAATGTGATTTCTCGAATTTACTTAAAAATACAATAGAAATCAGAATTAAATTACATAATTAAAATAAGAAAAATATATAATTACCAAATGACAGAAAATATTGAATTTCTCCCGAGTTTGGCACAATTAGTACTGTTATATTATATTTTATATTCAACAATTTCTAATTTTTTTTTAAAACTATATTTAAATATATATAAATAAATTAACAAATCAAATATCTGAGGTATTGGCTATTCATTTCTATATTATAATGATTATTTTTTAAATCACATTTTGAGCTGAATCACATTCGGCTTCCTCTTGTTCTTGTTGTTCTTTACTATTTTGTTTCTCATTCTTGTTTGTTTTGTATAGAAGAATTAAATCAATTGTCCATGCGATAAATGTTATTATTGAAAGACAATTTAAAAATAATACTGCTGTTGAATAATTATTGCTGGCATCACGAATCATTCCTGAAAAAAAATTAGAAAATTAAATTTAATTGTAAAAAAAAAAGATAAAGTATCAATACACAAAGATTTTCCAATTGGACATGAATTCGAAAAGACATTAAGTGTACAAGTATCACCATATTTTCCTAGTCGTCTTACCAAATTAATTCATTTTTCCAAAAAAAAATGCAAAATTAAGGAAAAAATCTAAATATTAAACATTTTTTTTTTCATCACTCTGCTTTTAAACAAATTTCTTCAAAATAAGAAAGTTTACAAATTTTTTATTATTTTTCCGCATTTTAATCAAATCGTTCTGGCAAACAAGTTAAGGTCAAAGAAAAAAGTTCAGAAAGTCACCATATTTTCATCAAAGAAGACTTTGATTGTAAACGGTACAAAGTTCTATGCGGTTCTTAAAATTAAATAGGCAATATAAGATAAGATGATATGAAACTTTAAGATGCAAACATAACTGACATTATCAGTATAAAAGACAATTCTTTTTATCGTTCAACAAAATTTTTGGGTACACATTGTTTTTCTTAACGCGAAATCTTTTAAAATTTCGGTTATTAAAATGTCATAATAAGGAAATTCTTTAACAAAGATTAGTTTTTTTTCTTAAATTTATGATTTAGTAATAAATTTCTTACCTATAACTGGTCCACATGCTAACATAAACATTCCAGAAATAATTTTATGAAGACCACATGCTCCAGGTAATTGTTTTAATGGAACATAATCTGGTATAATAATTGAATTGAAAATCATACGTAATCCACGAAATATTCCTAACCATATAAAGCAAGCAAACATCAATTCATATGATGGATTCTGTGATATAAGAATTTCAGCTGAAGTCATAGCACCCAATGATATCAAAAAATAAACACGATTATCCCAATTAATTCGTTCAACAATAAATGGTGATAGGAAACGACTTAAAATATCTGGTATTCTTGAAATTGACATTATTAATGCTATTGTTGAATAAGAATATCCAAAATCACTTAATATAAATGGTGTTAAAATATTAAAATTTGATTCAACAAATTGGGCTAATGTTAAACCAAAAATAATATTACAATATCGCCAATCTTTTAATAATTTAAGATCAAAATAATTAACAAGTTTCTTATGTGCTGGTGTTTTATTTTTAATACTTTTTGAAATTATTTTTTCATTATCCTTATTTGAATTCATTTCAATATTTATTGTATTAATTTCATATTCATGATGTGATGTAACTTCACTGGTATTATTATTATTATTATTATTAGAATTATTTGTAGTTGATTTATCATCTTGTGATTGAATTTTAATTGGTTTATATATCCATGAAAATGCTATTGAACTCATAGCAAAAATTGCTAATATTATAATTGTTCCACTTAAACCAAAATTATCTAATAAAAATAATACTAAATATGGCATAAAAAGTGGTCCAATAGCTGAGATAACAACAATTATACTATTACCACGTTTTCTATTCTTTTTAAAATAAACACTAAATGCAATATGTTTTGCTGCTGTATTGATTCCTCTACCAAAACCTATGTAAACAAAATTTTGAATTAATTACAGTTTTAATAATAAAAATTATAATTATATAATAGTTAATAATAAATATATATTCACTAAATCTATTATATTCAAAATTAATAATACGAAGATTGTGAACTAAGAGTTAAGATTAATTTTAATAAAAACTTAATTGATCTGATAATTAATTGAACACTTTGCTATATTTATTTTTGCAGTTTACAATGTTCCTACATATTTAACTCATTTAATTCAAAACATTTTTAAATTACATACACAATTAAGATCTAAATTTATATAAAACTTAAATATATAGAATGATAATTTCTTAATGTAAACTTGATTAGACTGATAATTTCATTATTATCAAAAGTTTACATATGTCAACGCTATATTATTGTTTTAATTTAAATATAAAGTCAGAATATTAAAATAAATTAAGTAAGAGATAAATTAATCAAAAAAACAAGCAAATTCTGTGCTAAGCGCATTTAAGGAATCGCAATACCTTATCCATTTGAATAGCGCCAAACTTTATTAACAATGAAATTATCGTTAAAATTCAGCTCATTCTATGTAATAATTATATAATAAGAGTACTTTAATTAACAAATATTTTTAATATAATTTTAATAATATAAGTAGCTCTAATTATACGAGTACTTATATTATTATTAAAAATAATAAATGCCGTATTTTAAAAAAATTAGTAAAATTAGTAGAATTAACCGAAATACAAAATTAACTTTTCCAATTAGTAAATTAATTTTGTCAACCTTGAACCGGATCGGCATACTCATTATCATATTCATAATACTGGGTACGCCGGGATCATAATTCAATATTTATAAATTCCTGGATTTAATAATGTCATCCAAAACAATTATAAATAATTTAAATGGTAGTAATAGTATTTCAATATTATTAACTAACCTCAAATTGCATATTTTAAATAAATTTTAATTATAAATTTTCCTTCAAAATTATATAATTAAAAATTTCTATATTCCGAACAAGTCTCTAATCGATTATATGTATAGGTATACAATATTTAGATTATCTGGTAAATAATTACATATACATTTAAATTAACAAAATATGTAATTAATAACTATAAAAACAAAACTTACCAAAAATAATTGAATAAATTAATAAAAATGTTAAAAATGTCGTTGCATGATTTGTTAAATAAGTTCCTAATGTAATTAATAATGCACCGGCTATAGCAATTTGACGATATGAAAACCATCTAAAGAATGGTGCAATTAAAAATTCTGTTAAAGCTGCCATTGCATGATAGGTATTTGTAATTGTTGTAATTTCTGAATTTTTAATATTATTTTCTTGGAAAAAATCACGAAATAATAAACCAAATTGTTGTACAATTGGCATAGTGCACATCTGTTATACATATATAAAAAAAAAAATATAATTTAATTAATATGAAAAACTCATTTTTTTAAGCATTTTTTTTTTTTAATTTTTTGTTGAATAATAAAATTAATTGTAACACAATATTTGAAATTAAAAAATTGAAATAATTACATTAGTTAAACCACTTGCTACACAAACACACCAACCCCATCCGCCATCTGGTGGCTTAAAATCATCACCATAATCAATTTTATTTTTACGTTTTGTAATATTTGATTTCTCATTTGAAGATTTTATTGATTTTATTTGATCATTAATAGGTAAAACCATTTTTTATTTTTGAAAAATTTCTAATGTTAAATTTGATAATTAAATTAAAATTCTCGATTATTAAAATTATAGCACGTAATTATCTTCTATATTATTATTAATTGATGAGAAATAATTTGAGCGAAAAAAAATTATTCTTATTAACGGAATTGCTCAGTACCGAATGAATTTTATTCTGTGCGAGTAGATGAGTTTTATTCTCAATTATAAAGTGATTTCTATATGAATTGTTGTTGTTTTTTTTAATCACTTTAATCATTTGTTATGTATATACCTGAATTTGTTTTTTTTTTCTTCCCATATTGTTTAGTTTCAACTGAAATAATTGAATAGGATTTAATAGAATGTTTTATTTACATTAACATTATATTTTGTGTCACCTGGGTAGCAAATTTAGTTTTTATTTAAATTTTAATCTTTGACTGAATAAGAAATTTTTAAATTTTATTGAATTTTAAATTGAATCATCAGCTCGGATTTGATATTAATTATGAATTTCTATTACATGAGTAGCGATATAGGAGATTAGAAATCTCTTGGAACATTGAATTTTAGTTTAAAATAATCAAGGTAAGGTTGCGATGGCAAGTTTAATATTGAATTACAAAGTTGAATATATGTCTATTTTCTCCATATTCTATGTGATTTACAATGTCCAGATTCTATGATATCTGAGTTCTACTGTATATTAAATAAAATTCAACATAATACATTTTAATTAAAAATTTAAAATCATTTAAATTTCATGAATTTAACACATTTTATTTTGTTATTTTAAAACATATTTTTGTTTTACTACAATTAAAAATTTTTCATAAAAAGGTTTTTCCCGCAACAATGTATTTAATTAAAAAATTAGAATAATTTTTACGGATAATTTAATTCAAATATTTTTGTAGCTTTTAATTTTTATTGTTTTTTTTTTAATTTTTAGAATCATTTGAAAATGAATGATCAAATTTTTAACAAATCGCAATTGTCAAAACTAATTTTGAATTTTCGTTGCTGTTGTAAAATCTTTGTGGACTTCTTTGTCAGCTATAACCGTACATGTACGTTACAATGAATGCCATTAAAGAGTTATGGTAATGAAATGGCAACTCCCAATTTCATTTTCAACTTCTTATAATAGTGTGTTCAACAAATTCACTGTCAAGATATTTCCGAGTTAAGACTTACACAACTGCTTAACTGACAATACTTTTATTATAGTCAGTTTTAAAAATATTTTTTTAATTGGCATCTTAAATTTTCTGTTTCAATTTCCATTTAAGAAAGTTGAAAATTAACAATAATAATTATTAATAATGATGTTTGTGTTTATATTAAACGTAAATAAGTGTTTTTTTTACAATTACCAAAACCTTTTATGTAGAATTGATTTGAAACAAACGCACAATTAAAAATTGTTCAAATATTTTTAATTTTCAACACAATCAGCCCTAATCAAATTCGCTATATTTTGATTTTTTATATTTAAATTAATTTCCACAAGTATTGACATTGTGAATTGTACGTAAAAAGTATTATAAATTTGCCATTCCGTTTCTTTTACTTCCATGTCAAATATGAAGGTTTCATTTACGAACGTCGGGGTCACAATTAATATGTTTATTTTATTCTTTATTCATTGATAGTTTTCTCAATACTAATGTAATTAATATTAACAATGTACAATATATACTAAAGTGTATTGAGAAAAATGATGCTTGAGAAATGTGTTGAATAAGGGGTCGTACCGTTAGGTAACAAAGGAATTTTCATATTAATTCTTTCGGTAAATTACGTTGAGTTCTTCTGTTATCTTACCGATTGCATCGCTGCTTATTGTATTGTGGTACTTAGAATCAATTTGGACAGTAGCCAATTATTGGTCTATGTTCTTCATAGCTCTTAAATTATTTTAAGTGGCAGTACTGAATGTATGTCGTAGGTGTGACTTAACCTTAAACAAAATTAACTATACTATGCATAAGATTTTCAAACTAGCAACTATAACTTTTGTACGTATAAAATCATTAACTCTATGTATTAATTAAAATCAATATGAATTTCAAAATTTTTTCTACAAAATTCTAATTGGGATGATGCTTTTTATCTTATTTCCTGTGACTTCATCATGCTATCTTTATAAAAATATTTAAATAATGATATGACTGCCATCAAATTAAGTACATATACTTATGTATTCATAATGCTAGACAAAATATTTACTGTTGAATGGTACCTTTATGTAGCTAGATGAATAAGTTTAACTGTTATGATCGGATGACAACTACAGTGATTTGTTTTGATTACAAATATTGTATCCTATATAAAGAAAGTATAGAAATATTTGAATAAACAAATAATAAAGATTCGTACGTGTGTCATATAAAGTTTATCAAAATTTAAATATTCACTTCCTTGCCTATATGGGATATTATGTAAATATATTTGTATGTATATGAATGAACAGTGATAAATCATCATACATATGTATTTCAAAATATAATTTATAATTCTTCGTGATCTACTTTAAATGAATCATACTTGATGGAATTTATTGAAGAATGTCTTGAAAGTGAAAACAAATGCTTAATTATTATATTAATAGTTTTACGGTTGCGATCATATAATAACAATTCACACTATTGTGAACGATACTATTATTTTATTGATTTTTTATAATTACTTGAGTTAGAAATTGTATTTTGATATACTAGAACCGCAAAGAAGTAGATTTTTGTTTCAAAAAAAGTGATAGAAATACAAAATTAGTGCACAGTAGTCTAAAATTTAATTTATAATGACTGCTGTAAACATAAAATAAAAGTCAATTTACTTATATTTGAGAAAGATTTACAGCATTATTGTAAATTTTTGAAATGGATGAAAAGATGACTATTAAATATATACGTGCTTATAGTAATCTAATGAATGTAATTGCAAAATGAAAGAATTGAGTAACTATATTTCGTTTCCTTAAGAAAAAATAGATTTTTATTTCTATTATTTAGTATCCTTATTACATTAGGCGAACGGCTTTATACATATTGAAAAACGGAATCTTATGAAAGATGCATGATGTCTGTAAAAGACTGATAGGAGAATCAACCAATTTTTGCAATTGTGACATAACTCCTACTTATTCTCGCTTGTTTGTTTAGTTCATAAAACACTCAACTGTTTGCTATCAGTGACCAATCTTGAGATAATTTGTCCTCATCATTTTATGCAATCATTAGTACAATATTGCCGAAAATTTTCTAATTCCAGACTCATAATAAGTGTGACTCATGTTTAAAGTGGGTATCTTAAAAAAAACTTTCCTTTTTCTCATAAATATTCTTTATGTACCTAATAGCAAATATTAAACTTAGTAAAAACTTTCCATCAAATAAGTTTTCTGAAAGTTTGAACAAAAAAAAAAAAATAGAAAAATTCCAAAGAAATCTTAGAAATCCACATAAATAAAATAAAATTTATAATAACAACAATAACTCAGTTGGTCCTTAATGCATTTACAAATATTTTCTTATAAAATTTCTACGTAATCATAATCAGTAGGTAGATCTTAATTATGAATACACTGATATATAAAACACAGTTAACATACACAAATAACGGATTTGTTTGATTCAATTTGTTATAAAACTAAAGAAAAATGTGATGGTTTTCTAAAACTGATAAGATAACAAGCATTTAGATTGGATTCACGTTTTTTTTGGAAATTAATATTTAAGTAATTTAAATACTACCTACCTTTTTAATAAAATACAATATTAAACTAACATAAAGTCTAAAATATAAGTGAAACGGTAATTGCATATATTTAGGAGAAGAATTTATTTCATTTATTGCATAGCTACATTTTTGTGATTTTAATTTGAAATTTTGCAAAACAAGAATAATGTTGATTTTTTCTATTAATTTCTCATTGTGGGTATTCTACACCTTTACAGTATGTAAACCCAAAATTTAAATGATGATTTTCAAAATTTTCAAAAATACATTCACTAAGATATGAATATGGATTTTATCAAACTTACTATTACTTTACGTGATAATAATCACCTTCAACTTTATCATCATAATTATTTTAAATAGATAATATAATTGACACTTTATCATTGGTACCTACATTGAACAAGACTTATCTCTTTATTCATACATACGTGAGACATTAATATGACTCCTTAAGGTTTATAAGGTTTTTGATGAAAAAACTTATTCATAAGTACAACAAAATGTTGACGTTGTTCCATCAAAATGAAAAAATTTTTATACAGAAATTCTTGCGAGCCTAAGCATTGTGAATTACATTACATTTGTCCGCTTACTTTGATGGCAGTTGGAGCTAAGATTTTATAAAATATAACTAGACTAATTTATAAGATTGTTCGTTACAGAATTTACAATCTTAGTATTACAATCTAATTACATACATACATATTTAATTTTTAAAAGGAAATTTACAAAATTCAAAAAAAAAAACGGACTTAAATACGAATTTTTCGAAATTATTTTTAAAGTGAATTATTTATTTATCTGAAAACAAAAATAACTCATTAAAAAAAATATTTTTAACTCGCTGAAGGATTACATTCGCACAACAAATACATGGAGCCGCAAAAAATTATGATTTTTACTATTTTTGTTTTTTTGTAAATTAATTTCCATATTGCAGAATTTTTTCTTTTAATTTCTAGACTTTAAATATTTATATGCGAATTCAATTACCCAACTGATGATTGGTATAAAAAGCAAGACTCCCAAAAAATAAAGCAACCAAACATAATTCATTTCATCTTTTATAACACCTAAAAATATATAATATTCTAAATTCATATTACTCTTCTACATATTCAACTCAAAATATTATACCTATTTGTGATCCAATGGTTAACGCAAAAAATCCAGTCAATAAATTATTTAATCCATTTGCACCAGACAATCTATCTAACGGCACAAATTCTGGTAAAATTAATTGCATATACACTGTTTTTAACCCTCTAAATAATCCAAAAATCACATATGATATTATAATTAGTTTACAATAACCGATATTTTGGCCAAATATTGCTACCATTAAAATTGAAATCAATTGTCCAAATATTCCAAGTAAATAAAAAAATCTTGATTCAATTTTTGTTTTTACAAGAATCAATGGCAATATCAATCTACCAGCAATATCAGATATTGTTGATAGAGTCATTATAATTACAATTTGATCTTGTTCAAATCCAAATTCATTTAAGAATATTGGTGTTAAAATTCCAAAATTTAATTCAGCTAAATATGGAAATATCATACCAATTTCAATATTAACAAATGTTGGATTTCGCAAAAAATCTAAATCAAAATATATGACAACTTTGTGCCATAATGTTTCTTCGCTTAATTTACAATAATCTAAAACACCATTTTGTTTTTCATTAGATTCTTGAATGGTCATTAATCCATCATCATTGTCAATTAATTGACTTTCAAGTTTAAGTGTATCTTGTTCTTTTAATTTATTTACATGCCATAAAACTGGTTGATAAAGTAAATTACAAGCAAACATGTGAAAACATAAAGCGCTAATAATTTTCGATGTTTCAATTTCATTAAATTCAATTAAAAGCCATATAATTAAAGTTGGCATAAATATTTGCCCAAATCCTGTAATAGCCCATGAAATAGTGTGAGCGATTCTTCGTTTCTTCTTAAAATATGTATTGATTGCAAGTGCACTAGATGGGAAGCATAGACCAGCTCCAGAACCTAAAATGATTTTTTTTTCAATAAATACATTAAATTAGTTTAAAACAAATAAGACAAACGTACCCACAAAAAATCCATATGATATCAAACATGTTATAAAAGAGTTAGCATATGACATCAAAAATACACCAAGTGAAAAACATAATGATCCGAATAATCCAATTTGTCTATATGTAAATCGTTTTAAAAGTGGACCCGTAAGAAAACCTGTTAAATTTTAGTCTTTATTTTTAAGGTATATACAAATTATTTAAGATATATTTCGTATAAATTTTTCTTAAATAACACGGCTGTAAAACAACAACATTATCCAAGCATTAATTTCATATTTCAAATTAAATTGGCACTTAACATGACCTATCCCTAATTTTTTTTACATTGCGTAAAATAAAGTTGATCTAAATTAAATATTTACATTGAAATTTTTTATAAACATACAATAGTACTTATATTTTATAGCGGGTCTAAACATTCATTTGTAATACAAGTGAACTAACCAACAAAATATGCAATTGCAGTTTGAGTATTTGGAATCGCTGTAATTTCTGCGTTAGTTAAATCTAATTTCATAAACTTTTCTTGATAAATCAAACCAAAATTTTGAAAAATACAAAACATCCACATCTACAATATTTAAACAAATTATTAATTCAAATTTGATTGTAAAACCTCAAAGAATACTTACATTTGATATACCAGAAGCACAACATATTAACCATCCAAATCCACCATCTGGAGGAATAAAATTCGATCCATAGTCATTTTTATTTTTAATTTTTATATTTTTAATTTTCATAGAAACAGAAATTTCCAAGTGAATAATGTAACGAGCAAAATGTGAATAAAAATAAAAACCAATTTAAATTTATGATAATCTTGTCTCACTATAAATGCATTAGTACTCAAATTAACTATTATCTTTATATAATTTACTTTCGCAAATATATATTGTACTTACTTTAAGATAAGATTCAACAGTAATAATAATTTAAAAAAAAAAGGTTTCCAACTTTACAACTCACTGCTGATCAATAAATTTAATAATTTTATAAAGTATTTTTTCTGTGTAGAAAAAAAGGCGAATCAAACAGGAAAAATCAACTACTAAAATTTTCCTTGTTGCTGATACGGTCACTTATATGTGGTTAGTTCGAAATATTTTAGAAAAGATGTGTTATTCCCTAAAGAAACATTTCTAATAAGAGATGAGTATAGTTCGTCCAAAAAATTTATGTCTTTGTTTTCTCACATTAGCAAAATGTTGTGGAATTAATTAGCATTAAAATTAATTTAATATGAAAATGAACTCTTTTCTTAAGAATTTCATAAACGAATTTTTTTAGCGGCATGTAACATTAATATTAATGTGTAATGTTTTAATTTCTATTTAACCTCGGTTATGATATTAGTTGGTAACCCTAATCAAAAATTAATAACATGTGTGTAAAGCAGTTCTTTGCCATCATTTTTATAATTCTTTTTATTTAAATAAGAAATAAAACTTTTATCACTTAAATCATATTCAAAACATGCGTATAACTTACATATTTTAAGCTTGTAAAATTAGGAAGCGCAAGGGTAATTTTTTGGAGAAATATTTTGACATGAAACAATTTTTTAAATGAATAGACTATAGTTTATGAATATGTTTTATTAAAACTATGTTCACCTTTCTTACTATTATAAATGTATTCAAAGTAGGAAAGTGTATAATTCCTATTTAATACACATCATACGAAATATTGAGGTCAAGATAACGAAATCATTTGTTCACATTCTATCTGAAAATTTTAAATCCAGAGTTCTATTTAAACAGAATAATTCTTTTGCCCCCACCTTAGGAACCAAAACAATACGTTTAATATCACTTAACATATCACAAGAAAAATAAAATCATAAGATTATCAATTTCAAAATTTAGTGTAGTAAACGCTTTTGCTTTCTTTAACAGATTTATAATTCAGTTCGAGGCACTTCTGTGTCTTTTTGTTCATTTCTTTTTTTATACCAACTGTAAATCAATTCGATTGTCCAAGAAAATACTGTTGTTGACGAAATTAAATTTAAGAAATGTAACGTAAGTGTGTAATTCGTTTTATCTCGAATTATCCCTAAAAATTAAAATTTTAAAATTACTTTTGAAAATAAGCTTATACTACTAAACTTATATTTACCTACAATAGGTCCACAAGATAATGTAAAGATACCAGAGGTCAAAAGTTGTAATCCAGAAGCTGCCGGCAGCCTTTTCAACGGAACATGACTTGGTATAATAAGAGCTAAAAATATAGTTCGTAAACCTTTGAACGCTCCAATCCATAAAAATAAAAATATTGCTACTCCATAGGGCGGTTTATGAGCTAAAGCTATTCTTCCAATTGTCATGCCACTTACAGCAATTATAAAAAATATTCTATTATCCCATTTAATGTTTTCCACAAGAAATGGTACTGCAAACCGCATTACAATATCAGAACCACCAATCATAGACATTAATATAGCAATTTGATCTTTTGAAAATCCAAAATCTGCCAAGAAAAATGGCATTAATACAGTAAAATTAAAATCAGCAAAAGTTGATAATGTCATTCCCATCATTAAATTAACAAATGTCAAATCTTTAAATAGACCCAAGTCAAAGAATGCGACAACCTTTTCATACCATTTTAAAGTTTTTTGGTCTTCCATTTCTACTGATTGATTTTCTTCATCTTCTAATATTACTTTGTTTTCAATGAATTTTCTCGAATTATTGCAGGTACAATGCAGCGCTCCCAAATTTATGCTACTAACAGAACGTTGAATTTCTTTTTCTTGTTGATAAATTTTGGAGCCTTCATTACCAAATTCATCTTTAAATTGCGCTTGCAAATTTTTAACAGTCCCAAATTTTTTCAGTTGATTTAGCGAGCTTCTTGATCCATAATATCCATCATTGGCTCTAGCCATCATTGCAATATCAGATGTACTAATTTCAAATTCAGTTAACTTTGAATTTTCATTTGAATACAATAGTTGACTTGAAAAGATTTTAGAATTTTTACGGTTAGATAGTTGTAACTTTATTTGGCAGTAACGGCATAAATTAGTATTATCATCGGTAATTTCATTTATTATTGGCATTTTTTGATCAATGGTATTTTTTGTATGCCATTTGACAGGTTGATATATTAAGGCACAAGCTAGCGCATGCATAGATATTCCAGTAAATAACCAAACAGTACCTTTAAATCCCAGAATTGGCAAAATTGCTGTAACGATATGAGGAAAAATGAATGGTCCTAAACCTGTTATTGTCCATGTAAAACTGGCAGCTCTTCTTCGTTTCTCTTTGAAATACGTATTAAGTGCAAGTGAACTTGCCGACACTATTATACCGGATCCGAATCCTATCCTTGGTTTTAAAGTATCAAATAGAATTTTAAAATGTGTATCAATTTCAAAACATCACTATGTAATTTAATTCTTATACCAAAAATTATTGAATAACATATCATATAAGCCGTAAATGTTTCAGCGAAGGAACTTAGAAATAAACCTAATGAAACAAATAGTGCTCCAAGTATTCCAACCTGTCGAAATGTTAATCTTCTAAACATAGGACCATTAAGAAGACCTAAAAAATGAAGCAGGTAACTATACATTTTTAAATATATTAATACAAAATTACCTGTTCCAGAGGAGGTGGCATTTTGTGAATTCATAATCGTTGTGATTTGCGAGTTTGTAAAATTCAATGACATCAATTTATCTCGATAAATCAAACCAAATACTTGAACTCCAGGAAAAATAGAAAGCTAACATAATAAAATATTTTTTAAAAATTTTTAGCGGAATATGGAATATTAAACAAACTTACATTGGATATACCAGCTGCCAAACAAACTAGCCAACCCCAGCCTCCATCTGGAGCAATGAAATTTTCTCCATAATCGTTTTTATCTCTTCTTTGTTTTTCCTTTTTTACTCCGGTTATTTTATTTGGAGGCATTCCAAATACATTTTATATCACCCTATTTGGAAATATAACTGCAAAATATAAAAGACAAGTTAAATTAAAAACTTCAGAAAACAAATATGATATTTAATTTCCAAAATTTTAAAAAAAGGAAATAAAACGATAAAATTCATAATTAACTAACAATAAATGTTGTTAAATCTTTGCTCTTAATAATATTCTTGCCTGAATTTGTCTAACAATAATTAACCTGTTATTAAACAAACTCATACGTGTGCATTTTCGAGAGAAAGTAATATAATTTGAGTACTTTTATACTTATGTGAGAAAAGTGTTATACTATATACCGTAAAACTCTTCCTTGTTTGTTATTATTATTATTTTTAACTTTTTGAAATCGTTGCAATTTTATTCACTTGTCTGATTGCATTAGAACAAAATATTCTTTAACTAAAAATTTATTTTATTATGATTACATAATAAATTACTTAAATTTTAAAAATATTATTTTTTTTTGAAAATTTTAAAGTTTCTAATCAATTTTAAACTTAATTAATTTTTAAATTGTTTTTCCTTTTAGAAAACTGTAATACAGAGAGCAAAAAATATAACGAAATCGAAAAAATTCACCAAAAAATATTTATTTTATTTTATTTTTCACCATCAAAAAAAAAATATTCGTTTGTTTAATTTTCAGTTTTTCAATTAAAAACGACAATTCTTTACGAGAACTTGGAAGCGAATGACTGATTTTCCTAACTATACAAAAAAAAATTATTTTTTGAGAGAATCATTAGAACTATTTTTAAAATTGTACACATGCAATATGTTATATATATATACATATCTGTTGTATAACAATTTTAAAAATGCAAGTTCAATGTTCAATTTTTGGCGCGTTTTTCGTCATTGATTACTAAAAAGTTTATTTCAGAAGAAAGTTTTTTTTATTATTATTGTTGTCATTTGATTTTGGACAACTTCCAATTTAGAATTCATTCATTATCATTTTTAAATCGTAATGGTTTTTATACGCATGTTTCGAATTCAATTAGAATGATCTCTTACTTTTTAAAATTAAAAATACGTAATTCTTTACACAAATAACATTATATCTGTTATATTAAAAAAAAAATAATAACATTGTCTTTGACAAAACAATTTTTGCTTTTACAAGTGTTGGTCAATTAAATTTAATATGTTCAATTTAATCCAAAAAATGTTAATACAAAATGGTCATACAAATAGTATACATATTATGTATAAGTTTTTCACACACGTAAGACGTAATAACAAAACTGTAATAATATTTACGGTAGGTATATATTTTCAAAATAACCTGTTACAAAATAATATTACGGTATTTTTAAATATGAACTGGCAATACTGATATCGCATGTTTTACCCAATAAACCAATAATTGTCATTAACTTTGACATTTCGTTATTTCAACAGATGTTGGATTGTAAACAAAAAGCAAACAAATAAGGAGTATGAAAAAAAATATCTAAAATTTTTGATTTAAGCCTAAACAATTCCTCGAAAAAATATGTGTAGTCTGTTTTTTTTAAATTATGCACATGTAGTGATTCTTTGCGAATTAAAGAAATCTAATGAATCAAAATTTGTTAGCACAAAATGTAGAATACCAGACAATACAAGAGCAACTACTTTATCAATAAAATATTAATAATTTGTTGAAATTTTAACATTGTTTTAATTAAAACGGCTCAAAGATGAAAATAAATTGTGCCTTATCCATATCTCAATATCAAATATATTTTCACGCGTACATATTATATATTTTATGTACATAATGTACACGTTTTTGTAGTGAAGATTGTGATATCCTTATATACATACATACTTAGATATATACATACATATATGGACATATACTATATGGTGTATGAATGCATGCAAATATAAGTAACATCTACATATTTTCATTTAATTATAGAAGCGTTGTAATAGACAGGTGGGAGTGTGGGGAGAAGTGAACACTTTGCGAAATGTTCTACTTTGAATCGGGATCAATATACGTTAAAGGTACACACATACAAAGTTATAAATTTTAGAATCAGCAACAGTATCCAACTTAACGAACAAAACTCTTCTTTTTTGTCCAAAAGAATCTAGTAAAATCTAGCAAAAACGACTAAATTTACGATGTTTAATGCGAAAATAATAATTATTATAAACAAATGTCCGTAACTAGTTTCTTAACAATTCCTATGTTATGAAAGGGAAACCATGTATGTATGTAGTTCTGACAGCAATTAATAATTATTAGATGGTTACTAACAGAATTTACAATCAATTTTTAATAATTTGGAAAAAATCAACAATTTACTATTCACATATCATAAGAGACTAATTATAGGTTAATTACAAATAAAAGAATAATAATAATTTTGTTATTCAAAATTATTTTTTATCATTCGTCATTCGCGACTTTCTTAAATACATAAAAATTTAAAAATCACGCATGTTTTAAATTGATATTCGAAATAATATTTGATTACTTTCATTATGTATTAATTTTCACATACTAAATTTTAAAATCTAAATCTTGGAAACTCAAATATCAAATTATAAAGTGCTAAAAACTTAGTTAATTTATTGGGTAAATGACGATTAGTTGTTGTTAAGGTTTGATTTATTTAAGTAATTATACATAAAAAATATTCAAAATTTTAAAATTTTTAATACCATATTTTAAATTTGAAAAAGAAATTTAAGTATGTATAAATTGTTTTTGTTGGCTTAAACAGTTTTGATTAACATAATTATTATTTATTTTAAAATTCAAACAAACTACTGTTTATTGCAGGCCTAAAGTAACGCTTGACTATAATAGATACGCAACCTTGACTCTATAATATTCATTACTACAAAGCGGTTTCCATTAACTCTATGGAATCAACAATATCATCAGATTATATTAAATACCAAACAGCGCGTTTTTGTAAAAAAGTAGTAATTATTTACTTTTAATACTTTTATAGTAAGTTTACACGTTTTCTAAGAGTTGTCCTTTTTTTGGTCTATTAATTTTCATATACCAAGGAAGACAAACGAGCACGAAATCGACATAGAAATGCAATTTACGACAAGCCGCTTTCAGAATACAGCGTTACCTCAGTAAGAAAATCAAAATTTGTTAAAAAGAAAAAACATTAATTTTTCACAATCATAATACAATCTTACAGCCTTTATTGTTTAACAGGATTGCAACTTCATACATAAATATATGCACACAAATAAACATACATAATTATGTGTGTGCATGTTCAAAAAATTCTTAGAAGCAGACGAAATCAACAAAAAAACTTCATTAATTCTATTGTTTTTTAACTCTAAAAATCACAATATGACTAACATGAGGCAACAAATAACATACAATACAACAAATATATATGTATACAGGCATACATGTACCTACATAATAATATTATGCAAATTATTTATTTTATTACCAGTTGTTACAGATGATAATCGGTTCGAAAACTGGTTTTACTAGCAAACAGCTGATTTTTGGTAACTGCATATTTTAATCATTTTTTGTTGATTTTCATCTATTCATTAAGTACATACACATATTATGTATGTACATACATACAAGTATGTAAATAGTTAATTATCATTCGATGAGTACAGTCAACACAAATAAACATAATATTTACAATTATATAGTTCAAAAAAAAAAAAACAAAGATCTCTTATTTACTATAATAAAGAGATCGCCTGTCGTCATAATTTTGTACCCACACATCCTTATACATACGATATGTACATTATGTAAATAATAAAGTTTACATTAAAACTACATCTAAATAACACAAATAAGATTTCATAAACATATGTATTAAACAAACATAACTTTATTGGTTTACGAAGCACAAATAATAGAAATTACGATATTACATACAGCGATTTATAAAATCGTAATTATCAATATTTGTTAATTTATTGTATTTGTATTTGCACACAAAGAATTCATTAAATTTCCATGGAAGTAAGTGTGTTTATATGTAACAAAAAATAAGAAATTTAGATATCAGCAATTTCGTGCATGATCAATATATCGTAAATGGATAATTTTATGTGTGCATCACTTAAGGTTTAAATTTGAAGAAACATAACAATGAAAAGCGAGCACACCTTATTTATACCGTTCTTGTAACAAATTTGGATTATACTGTTGTATTAAACATGCAGTATAAGAACATTTAATACAATTGACTATCGTAAAAAGTTCAGAATTTTATACAATTTTGAAGTTGTATTAAACATGCAGTATAAGAACATTTAACACAATTGACTATCGTAAAAAGTTCAGAATTTTATACAATTTTGAATTACGATTTTGCTAAATCACGTATAAAGTAAAATATTTAAAATTTAATGCCAGAAACGTTCACAAACAGACCATACAAAGAGTAGACCAATTGCATTTTTGCAGTGGGATTTTGGATTCCAACATGGCGGTACTTATATCATATGTGAAACTGAAATTTGAATTAAAAAATATATTTTATTATGTTTTTAATATTTTTTCAGGTTTTTTACATTAAATCCTAGTGTCTCAAATCTTAACATTAAAAATGTCCACAAATTCAACAGATTTTTCCTACACCTACAAATAAATTATAAATATTGCATACATATTGGAATACATTAACGTACCTGTATAAAATTTACATTATGCCTACGTATTCATATTACTATGTCTGGTTATTTCGCCAAAATTAGCTACAAATATAATGTAGAATTGGTCTCTAAATTTCTTGTTAGATTCTAGTGAATTGTTGAATTGAAAATTTTAAAGAACAAAAAAAAAATGTGCTCTTTGTTTTCTCTTCTGTTGTTTGAAAAAAAATTATCATGCTGAGGATGCGTGCTAAAAATCATGTTTTATAAGTAATTTGAAAATGTCAGTCTATCCGTTCCTATACATTTGCACATACAATTATAATATATGTACATACATATGCTCATATCTTTAAATGTATCGGAGTAAAGAAAGAAAGAGCAAATTATTGTTATATTACAAAAAGATAACAAACTGGCAAAATATCAAACACGTTTCCTATTATGGAATCCAATATATTATGTACATATGTATATCAAAAATCATTCTTAAGCTTGCTAAAATTTCCAAATGGATAGCAATAATATTTCAACAAGAAGAGAAAAACAAAAGAAAAAAAAATAAAATAATAAGAAAAATTGTTTTATGATCTTTAAAACCACTTTTAAACCAACATCACATTTCATTCTTTTGTTTATTCCAAGAAATATGAATCAACAATGACGTAAAAAAATGCTCGAAAACGAAATGCACACGTACATACATTTGTACGTATAAATTTTAAGTGGAACCCAGCACATGGAAACTACTCATACACACACATAGTGAACGAAAATTTAAAAAACGCATACATTCATAAATAAATTATTTAATTGAATTGTACAATTCATTATTCTTCATCATTCCAAAGTCCATATTTAGTTTGTTTCTGGTTTAATAACAATTTTATACAGATTTTATACAGATTTTATCGTTTATAATATTATGTAAATTTGTATATGGTCTTTTAGGAATCTTCCAGAAATTTTTAAATTTTTTTTTTATTACCTTAGCATTTTCAAATAATGCCAGTTTGTTGTATTATAACGTTCCATTTAAGAATATATTTATTACACCTATAACACTCTTAATGTATAACAATCTCAGTTTACAACAGTTTCAATTGCACGAACCCTTTTAGTTGAACCAATTCAAAAAAGTGCTTACATTCATATCGGTTTAGTATTTTTATAATGAAGTTTAAAATATTCAATTGCACGAACCTTTTTGTTGAACCAATTCAAAAAAGTGCTTACATTCATATCGGTTTAATATTTTTATAATGAAGTTTTAAATATTGAATTTTTAAATTTCAAGGTTAGTTTGTACGCGGACCTACTATGATTTCCATACAAAATAGCAATCCACTTACAAACTATCACCAGTTAATTGACAGTAATTTGATGTTGAATCGTAAAGTTTTTTTATTTATAAATTTATACTATTACTTCAATAATAGTGCTTTTTTAAAATCTACAACATTTTTTTACGATAAATAAAATGTAAACGATTAAATAATTAGCACCAAAGAAAGCTACGAATAATAATTTTCAGCATAAATTTTTATGGTACTAACTGTTATATCCATACGGCATACACTATAAAGTATTCTAACAGATTTCTTTTTTCTTATGTAAATACATGTGCACATACATAACTACATATGTATATCCTACTATTGAAATAAACTAAATTATTACATCAGTTCATAAATTGCTTTTTACAGTGGCAACACTTAAAATTAAGTGTCTTATTAATTTCTTTTTTCACAATGAATAAATCTCATTTTTATTGCAACTGCATAGAAGCATAACAAGAGCATCATTGTACTACAATATTACCTACATACATGTTATATTTACTTATAAATAAACAAAAAGAAAAATCAGCTGTTTTACTGTTATACTGGTTTCTTGTATAAAAACATAATTGCACAATATGCTTGCTTATATATTAATTCAAAATGTACATATATGTACATTTATAGAATAAATATACGGTCTTGTATGTGTATCATTGTTATTTTTGTTAATTTATTGTTATGCTAGAAGAGGAAGGTAGTGTGAATGTGTAAAAAATAAAATTATAAAGAAAGAGAGATCTCTTCATTTTTATATAAAGAATTTGTAAATTTTAAATTTATTTCTCTCTCAATATCATAATAGTACGTGATGATAGCGTAGAGTAAAAATAAGTTAAAGAAATAAGTTCAAGACCACAAAATCGACTAAAGTTTCATTAAAAAGCTTAAAAAAATTTTTTGCAAAAGCATTTGAAGACAAAATTTATGGGAAAAAACAAAAAATTATTATTAGCCAACAGTGGCCTTATTCAAAAGTTGATTGAACTTTTAAAATCTATACAAAGTTTAAGCAAACTTTCGAAAATTTTTGATTACAACTATTTATATGAAAATTTCTGATAGGCACGTACATTATTGAATAAATTTTAAAGGTTCCGCGGAAAAAAACCAATACAATTTTTTAGAGAATCCCATTTGAAAATAACATATGCAAAAATTATTTTGAACATTATTTAATGGGATATTATTTCATTGAACCTAAATCATATATACACATTATATATTTGGATATATGCATACAAGAAAAAGAATCGATAAAATATTAAAATTCAATAGCTTAAACAAAATGATAAACAAAGCGATATTCATTTCGTAGTAGAATTTTATAAAAACGTTGCTTTATCGTAAAAAAGTAAATATTTGAATTGAGGACAAGAAGTTGATACAAATTTTTATTAGATAATTGCTTGTATGGAAAAATTTTAAGTAAATTTCATGCAATGAATAAGTAAAAAAATTTAAGTTTGACTACTTGAAATTAGAGCAAAATTCGGCTTCTCTAATTAAAACTGAATTAATACCAAAAACTTTACCTAGACAATCAATCTAAGAAGGTAATTAAGTGGATATAGTTGTCTCTTTCAGCCCACTTTTCTCTTTTTATATGAAAAGTATAATTGGAAGAGCATGTTTTCATCATTCGTCTTGTATGTATAGGGTTTTGTTAGTATGTGCACACCTGAAATAGGTATTAAAAATAAATTTTGAGGTTAGAACTTGAATCAAATGACTTATTATGGGAAATATATTGCTGACTCAGAAATTTTATTAATTAAAATGCGTTTATTAATTTTAATTATTTAATTAAAATTATCTTTCACTGAAAATCACTCCAAAATGCTATTATCCTAGCACGTTATTAACGAGAGTCGGGAAAACCGTTCAAAATTTTTACTTCTGATTTTATTCTCTCATTTTTATTTTACTGAGAAATTTGAGAGCATAAAAAATATTAATTTAATTTAGTAAGAGAAGAGTAACTATAAAATTTTTTATCTATAGAAATACAATTTCACAAAAGTAAAACAAGTAAAACAAAAAAAAACATAACAATAGTAAGAGGAAAGCAACAAACTGTTGAGCTTTTCTTATTGTTGTATGCCGATTGTTGAGCAAAATAATATTGTAAATATAAGAAAATATATTGAACAAAATAATGAAAAAAAAAGAAGCAACAATAATAAATTCTCTTATATCGAGAATACTCTGTCTCTAAATATTTATGTATAATCACTTGTACTGTAATGTTATATAAATGTATCTGTAGTTTAGTTATGTTATTAGAGTTTGGCAGTATGTATTATACGATAATATTAAATAATGTTATTTTGTTCTATTGCTAGAATTTTTTTTCTGTAAGCGATTTTCGTATTAGATTTTATATAACATATATATAGGTATTATATTCCAATAGGTAGCTATATTGCGATATATTATATGTAGTACATAGTCTCATATATACAAAAATTCATCCAGAGCAGAGACATCAACATTTTTTTTATTATTATATTTTTTACTTTTCGTTTTTTTTCTTTTTTTTTTAAATACATACGCTGTGCAAGCAAGTAAATATCATCATTTTGTTTAGTAGTCGCGTTAAATTATATCGGAACGGCAAAGAGAAAACACGTGAAATAAAGGAAAGAAATAATATTTTTTTTTGTTGGAATTTTTTTTTTTTGAATTAAATTGTGAAAAATTATTGTAAAAAAAAATTTTTTTGGGTAAAGAAAACAAAATTATTTTTGTTTAAAAATTTCAAAAGAATTGTAAATGAATTTCAAAAGAGTAAAAATAATTAAGAGAAATTTTTAATTTTATTTAAAAAATCAAGTATTGAAAAAATAAAATAATTAAACAATACAATTTAATATTTTTGCTGAGTGTAAATTTTCTTTGATAAAATTTATTTTTTTTTTTTAATTTTGATCGGATCGCAAAGTATTCAGTCATCTGTTGAATAAAAATTAAACAAAAGAAGTAAATATATAACTGTATATATGTATACAATAAGTACATAAGTATTTTTAAATAAGTTAATGGTTGAATATACATAGATACACACATTTTATCTTACACATTACATTGCTAAAAATAAAAAAATTATATTGATAAATTTTATAAAAATAAATTTGATATTTTATGTGGTATAATTGAAAAAAGGGTAACACGATAAAAATTTATATATTTTTTTTTAAATAAATTGATCCAAAAAATTCAGTATTAAAAAAAAATATGGAAAATTTTTTTTAAAATTAAAAATTAACCTACGTGTGCACAATATGAAATATCAAACGAGTGAATAAAAAACAAAAACCTACATAGGTATTATATTTTTTTTAATTAAACAAACTAAGGAAAAAAAATACCGGAAAAAAATTATCGGAATGCAAGAATTTTTGCAATTTTATACAAAAAATTTCAAAAATAATTTTAAAAAACCATTAAAATTTGTTCCAATTTATGAAAAAACCATTTATACTTAGTAAAAAAATGGTGTGAAACCAAAATAAAAAAAAAGAATTAAAATAATTATTTTTTTAAAAATAAATTGTAAAAAATAACTCGAAACATATAACGAATGAAAACTGAAAATATAAAAGAAAATTTTCATATTTTTCTTTGTTACTTTTTCAGGCTCTAAAAAATCATTGTAAAATGAATATACCGTTACACGAATTTTACAATATTTCATTATAACAATAAATACTTGATAGTTATTTCTGAATAATAAAAACTATTTACCGTTATACATATAAATACTGTTATACATAAGACAGATATCTTACATAACGTATAAAAGTAACAATAAACAAAATTATTGTCTACATACTATTTACTTGGGTATTATTCTCTGTGCGAGACAGACAGCTGATCATTGAAGAAAATAACAATAATTATAATAATTGTTAGTCATAATCTATTATAGCATAAACACTAATAATTTTTGATTAGCAATAAATTTTTTTTTAATTAATGTTCATTTAAAAATTTTAATAAAGTAAACAAAATTTTACCAAAAACAAATGTTTGTAAGTAGAACTAAAATATTTTTCTAAGAAAAATAGAAAGCTATAAATTTTGGTACGATTAAAATTTTTATTTTACAAAAATATTTATGATTTTGTACTAATTTATCTTTTATAAATTGGTATATGAGAGACTATACAGAATAAATTATAGGTACATATTAAACCTTCACATATTTACCAAGTGTAGAGCGAGATTATTTAGAGCTGTGATTAATTTATAAATTATATGCTAATAAAAGAATTATAATTTGAATTTGATTTAATTAAATTAAAAAATTAAAAAAAAATAATAATAAAAATAAATAAATATTAGGTTCTTTTTTTTTTGTTTAATTGTTGATTAATGTGCAAAATAAATTTTTAAACACGTAAAAAAAACGCAATTTATTGCACAAATTTTAATAAAAATTACGTTGCGCATATTGTAATTAATAATTTCGATATTAAGTACAAACATAAATAATAAACACATAAATAATTATATCTACGTACATACATGAATATTGTCATTTGTAAAAATTAATACTTAAAAATACAATATTAAAATTTCTCTTTTAAGAGATTATTTTACCCTTTTTCTGAATAAAATTCATTTAATAAAAGAAAAAGTGCTGAAAATTTATTGTTCAATTTTATAAAAATATAAAAATTAAAAAATATCTCATAAACACATAAATATATATATACTTATATATACATGTGTTTTTAATATTTGATTTATTTCAAATTATCATAGGGAAAAACAAAAAATTTCTAATAAAAATCGACAAAAAAAAAAATTTAATAAACAAAATGAGTAAAACAAGAAAAGTCGCACCAGATGGGGGTTGGGGTTGGATGGCGTGTTTTGGTGTCAGTTTAGTAAATGTAAGTTTATATTTTATTTTACCTAATATTTTGAATTTTTTTTTCAATTTTTTAAAATAATTTGAATCAATCGAAGATTATAACAAATTCACGTTGATAATTTATTCCTAAAAAAGCGTTCTCTTTAAAACTCTTCAGCTATTTAATTTATATTGGAATCAACAATAATGTACGATACATAAACACTTACAGTTAATTGCATATTTTATGACATATGAGTTTGTAAATATTGCCAAATTTTGCATTTTATTTCTGCAAACAAATACTTGATTTTATTTAATTAGATTTTTTGAAAATAATTTTTAAATAATTAAAGTATGCACTTTAATTGTTATACTTATAAGTAGATAATTAAAATAATTAGCTAAAAAAAAAATATTTTTTTTTAAGCAATTAAATTTTTTTTTATTAAGTACTAAAAATATTAAGTACACATTTACTTTTCTATATTTATTGTCGACCATGTCATATTTTATTCGAATAGTATTGGAAATTTTGTCATTTGATTCGTAATACTCGTATTGACAAATAAATTTTTTTTAATGTACTAAGTAGTATTTCTGTTTTTTCACTTTGACTAGTAATAACTATGAAAATTTTTATTTCTCTACTTATAACAATGGAAATTGAAAATATTGAATGAAAGTCGTTGTTCTTTTGATTTGGATTCTAAAATTTCATACTAAGGAGTTCAAATATGAGACTTTAAAGCAATTGTGTAGTGAAATTGTTCGCACATTAAAAAACTTTGTTGTGAAAAAACATACGAGAAGTTGAAATAATTGTCATACTTTCCAAAAAATCATTTCATTTCAAATTATGCTTTTTGATTCTAAATAATATTAAATAGCTTAAATGTAGTTCCTTTATAAATTAGTATTGGATTATAAAAAAAACATTTTAGTCATACTTTAGAGTAGTATGATTAACTATGGTAGTATGGGTAAATAGAAAGCTATTCCCATTTAATTTTTAATTTTATACTGTTTCCATTTATTAAGAAATTGCATCATCTTCTGTTTAACATATGCTAAGTATGTACTTACATACTGTTTAGTCGATTTAAGCATATCATCAGATACAACTGTCATGACATTATATAAATCAAATGTAGTACTTAAGTAATTTGAGTAAAAATCATGATATTAGTATCCATCATGATTTTGATTCTGGTAATTAAATATTTAATGAAAAATTAATATTGTAAAACAGAAAGTTTTATAAGTTTCTAAAAAATATTGAAAATTTTTTAGTATCTTAAATAATAAAGTGACTTATTTACTTGACTATATGTACGTACAATTACCTCAAATAAGTAGGTATGGGAGTTGTTACGTGTTAAGCCTCGTCAATTAAATTTTAAGGAAATTTTTAATACATTGACATTAAAGTTGATATTTCACTTACTGTTAATACTATCAAAATTTTCATCACATGATTCGGTACTCAATAGTGTGATTGTGTGATAACATAATGGAATTGCTTACGTATAAATAAAAATCCCACGAATTCTTACGCACTAGAAAAAACAAAAATTAGAAAATTAAAAATTCCTCCTCAGAATTCATCATTGATTTTCAAAATCGATTCTATATTTTTCATTTATTTTACTGTATAAGTCCTCTTTTCTTTTTTTTTATTAAAAAAAAATACTTTATACTATAAAATTTCAAACGACAGCATATTTCTCTTGAGAAGCTTAAAAAAATTCAACACAATTTTATGCTTATATTGAAAGAATAAAAATTCTTATACACATTTAATAAAATTTACGTGTGTAGGTGATTTGAAACTTATTTAAAGAAATTATTTGAATTCAATATAATGTCAAGGATATTATATAAAAAAATGTTTTTGAATTAAAATTAAATCTAGGGAGATTTTTTTGAGGGAAAATAAATTTAAAAATTTAAATTTTAATTCTTGGAATTCAATAAATTACTATTTTCCATTAGCTCTAAGTTAAATATTAAACTGTTATACATACTTAATACCTAAGAACGCTATTATACTCGTTTAATTTAGTGAAACTTTACAAATTTTTATTTATTTAAGATTTCATATTTTATATGTTTTAATTACAATACATACTTTTGTACATACAATGTACTTTTCTACGTGAATTTTTTCTCTCATAAGATCCATAATTTTGATAAAATTTAAATAATAGGAGTACTATACTTTGATATACACATGTTGATAAACATAAATCGTGTAATAATTATTTAATTCCGCTTGATAACCCACAATATTTTGAGCCATTTATCATCCTATGCAAATACTTAATTCATACATAATTGCAATGATTGCAATCAGTAAAAAACCTTTATCAATTAGTTTGGATACTTAAAATGTATATGTATATAAATAATAAAAACTTTTTACTGCAAATAATTTGTATTTATTTTACGATAAAAATGTTAAACTAAACTATTGGTTGTTTTTCTTCAGAATTTTATATTTTGTTTGCTGAATGACTCAATTATTACCATTGAAAAGTTGGTCATCAAACAATAAAAATGCATTTTGCAAAATTACTAAGTAAGTAGTGGAAAATTTTGGATTGGATTTCACTTCAATGTGTCAAAAGCTTAATTTCAATACCATTCCGCTTGCATTTTGTATTAAGTAACAAATTATTCATTTTTCAGATGCAAGTAAAAATTTAGAAAGAAAAGCTGTGATACCTAAAAATAGTTAATGAAAATTTCTATATTTTTTTAAAGTGATAAAACTATATAGTCGATATTATTTATATAGAGAAAAATATAAAAATAAATAATAACACAAAAAACCAAAATAAAAAAAATTGGTAACATGTGCTCTACAGCTGAACAAATTGATTTTAATATTGTTAACCAACACATTAAATTGAATTATTTCATAATATACATATAAGTATATATATGAATCTCTGTATATAAGTAAATTTATATATAATTATATAGACCACAGTATCTACCCACATAATGTTTATATGTAGATATACCTTCATACGTACATACATATATACATTAAGTATAACTTGTATAAGACTAAAATTAATTTTTTTTTATTGAATATATACAAAGGCACGTATTTATAGTATCGATTTGCTTTACAAATTATATATTGAAAATATCGATAAGTCTTTATAATATCGATATTATGGATATACCTAAGAGCATACATAATAATATATACTCGTATCTATGTAGGTGTAAACATATGTAAAGAGTAAATTGAATGTCAGCATTAAAATCACAGGGTCGCAATAAATAAAATCAATATGAATTTATTTGTTTTTTAGTTATAAAGTTGTTTACATGCATATGACGTACATACATAATTATATTTATATATAAGATATTGTATACAATAAATGTTTGTATATATATACAACATATATGAAATCAAGTATTTGCTATGCAGTATAGCGTGTTTAATAAAGAGTGGAAAGTTAAAGAAAAATAAGTTTGTGGAAAAGGAATAAATCGTGTTGAAATGAGACAAAGATGCAACAACACAAAAAGGAGCAAAACAATATTAAGAAATCAATGTAGCATTATAAAATTATAAATGTATGCACCTAATATGAAGTTATATAAAATATTTAAGCCGAACTAACGACAAACAATCATTTGCATTTTTAAAATTTTCGACAAATTACGTTTTATAATTTCAGTATGTATGTTTGTTTTTGACAGTTTACGCATAATTCGTTTTGTCAATGTCAAACCAAAAGTGAGTTAAATTCGTTTGCATTTTCACAATTTGAAGACGATACTACGGAATGCTTTATATTTCCAATGTAATTATATACTTATTTAAACAAACATGAATTAAAAATTAATTTGGTGAGTAATCAAGTTGTGAAGCTATGATTAGACGGCCAAGAATGTGCAATTTGATGTCTTTGATTTATTCTCATTACGTAAAAATTTCAAATTTACATCGATAATGCCGAATGCGTCGTCATTGATAGCAGCAATGGAATTGTAGTTTTTGATATATGTATTTACTTAAGTATATTGCAAAGTGATAAAAAATTTGGCCCTTCGAATAGAACTCTTCAAAAAAAATATAAGTACATAGGAATCACATGCAATCTTGCAATTTTTATGTGTTTTTCATTTAGAGGTCAAACAACAAAAGGCTATCTACTACTTACTTATGCAAAAAATAGAAGTAAAACTAATAAACACTTATTATAATTGAAGTCGTAGTTCGTTAAGCTTAGAATTACGGCCTTAATTAAAAATTTGTTACATTACAGATTTTTAATAGAGGCCATAAAAGTTGCAATTTAAAATTTTTATTGTATTTTTTTATTATCACTTAAAAAGGCATAAGAACAGTAAGTGACTGTTTTTTATATGGGATCATTTACTGTACAGAAAATTGTACAAATCTTTTACTACTTTAAAGTTTTCATATTATATTTCTATAGAATTTAAAAATAAATCCTAAAACATACGTACATAAACTAATATTCAAGCGCAAATCAATTCGAATGGTTGAGTTAAAATTACCTACATACTTAAATATGAAAATCTGGAAAATTTTCTTTTAAGAATACTTAAGTTACTTACTTAAGTACCTTTATTTTTTTAATTGACTTCTGAATTGTTAATAAAATTTGCATGTCAATAAGAAATATTTAATTTACTTTTAAGGATTAATAAATATTATCAAATTTTTGCGAATTTATTTTGTTATTGTATAGGTACTTATAATCTGATTTCTATTCTTTTGAAATCGTTTTTATAAATATTCATGTTTCAATTTCATTTATTCAATTTTCAAAATATAAATTACAAGTTTATAATAAATAGTAAATTTTTATTGCATAAATAAAGGAGGAAAAAGTTCTTTACGTTTTTTCTCTATTATCCTTTTATTTACTTAGCTTAAGTAAATTTCTTTTTAAATTCCAAATGTAAGATTTTCTATTTTAAATATGAATTTGTAACAATAACGCTGTAATTGTATATATACAATATAAAATAAAATCCTAGTTA